AGTTATACCCATTTATTTCAGAGTTCATTTTAAACCTCTTTCTAATAAAAGTATTAGCAAGAGAAGAAACTGTCTTAAGTAAATTATTTAAGATGATTCAATAAACATTTGCTATGGAAATCTTTATCTATTTTTAAAATTGTTATTTGTAGGGTTCAGTTTGGCAACGACTAGGTGCAGATGTGACAGCAGTTGAATTTTTGGGTCATGTTGGTGGAGTCGGAATTGATATGGAGGTATCTAAAAGCTTTCAACGCATCCTTCAAAAGCAAGGATTTAAATTTAAATTGAATACAAAGGTTACTGGTGCTACCAAAAAGTCAGATGGAAAAATTGATGTTTCGTAAGTATAGTACATTTATTTTTGACATATCATCCTTGTCACCTTAAGAAACACTCGATCAGCTTAACAAATGTATTGGGTTTCTATAACATAAGGTGATTTTATTGCTTATTGTGTGACTCAGTATTATCTATCAACTTAGTGCACTGAAATTCATGATTTAGTTGGTGTTAGACAAAATTAACCAATATTCTTATTGTAATATTCCTTTTCATAATTTGTGTTCACAAAACTTAAAGTTCCCATTGTTGAGTAAAATTAATATAGTATTTTTAGGCAGAAATCAATAATATGAGATTGTTTACTGTGTCTGTATTCTACTTATTAAATACTTRATTTATGCAGCTGATGAATGGCAGAATAGTTCTTAACTGATTCTAAGATTTATGTTTTTTGCTTTTTTGTTTTGTTTTGTGTTGCTGGGAATGGATCCCTAGGCCTTAAAAACCCTAGGCAATCAATCACATCACCACTGAGCCTGATCCACACCCCCCACCCTTGAGACTTGTGGTTTTTCTTTTTGGATGTTACTAGGGATTGAACCCAAGGGTACTTTATCACTGAGTGACATTCTAGTTCTTTTTATTTTTTCTTTTGAGACAGAGTTTTGCTAAATTGCTGAGGGTCTTACTCAGTTGCTGGGGCTGGCTTTGAATTTGGCTACTTTGCCTCACTTCCCAAGTAGCTGGGATTACAGGTGTGTGCCACTGTGCCTCTTACTGAGAACTCTATTTTTAACTATTATATTACATTGCCTGTTTTTATTAGAGTTTAATGATAAAACTCTAGAGGATGTRTACATTTTTCCCATTGTCTGACTCAGTTTGCTTATAATGAAGTAAACTTAACATTATTAGAAATTTCATCAAGCTTTGAGAAGTCTTTGATTTAAAATTTCTTACTATCACCTATCTTTATAGATGTGTGTTTAACAGTTATACACTGTTCATTGTTTAGTATTGAAGCTGCTTCTGGTGGTAAAGCTGAAGTTATCACTTGTGATGTACTCTTGGTTTGCATTGGTCGACGACCCTTTACTCAGAATTTGGGACTAGAAGATCTTGGAATTGAATTAGATCCTAGAGGTAGAATTCCAATCAATACCAGATTCCAAACAAAAATACCAAAGTAAGTTGGGTAATTATTTACATTTTCAGTTTATGTGTATGTGTATGTATTTTTTTCTTTTATTTGCATGCAGGGTTTGTGTTGTCGAGGCGGGTCTTGAATTCCTGAGCTGGCTCAAGTGATCCTCTTAACTGAGCCTCTCAGATGCTGGGCATTTACAGTTATTTTAAAGTTTATTTCAAACATTGTTTTAAAAATAAGACACTTGTTATATTTTAAAAAAATGTGTCAACTTGGGGGAAGAATAGTGTACTTAGAAGATGTAAAATAAAAAAGAACTTAGTGAATTTTTTCCATTGCTTATAGTTGAAGAACTGTATTTGATATGTGTTTTGGTGACTTATTAACTAGAAGTGCAATTATTTATTTCTTCATTCACTTMTTTTATTATTATGCTGGGGATAGAACCCAGGGTCTCACACACATGAGGCACTGAGCTACACCCCCAGCCCTAGAAACATTTTTGTTAACATGGTGTAACTGAAGAAGAGTATCCTTGATTTCAGAAGTTCACTGTTTCTTTTGATCTCTTGGTAGTATCTATGCTATTGGTGATGTGGTTGCTGGTCCAATGCTGGCTCACAAAGCAGAGGATGAAGGCATTATCTGTGTTGAAGGAATAGCTGGTGGTGCTGTGCACATTGACTACAATTGTGTTCCATCAGTGATTTACACACACCCCGAAGTTGCGTGGGTTGGCAAGTCAGAAGAGCAGTTGAAGGAAGAGGTAATTCTGAACATGGGCAGTTTTATTTCAGTGTTTGAATTGATCTAATGACACTGGTGACTGATAAACTATTAATGCAATACTAGATGCTTTTTTAGTAATTGTGGAGAACATTAGATTTTATGTATTTTTTCCTTTGTTGGCATCAAAAAGAGCTCATTCACTCTTTAGGTTTATCAGTCGTAATAGAGGGAAGAATAAGCTGCCTGTACTAAAAAACTAATAATTTCAGAGCTTTTATATTTGACTTGAAATAGACGGACATACATTTATATTTGCTTGCATTTATACCCAAAGTAGATTTCATTAACATGCTTTTTGGTCTTTCTGTATGCTCTGTGGACAACTGCCTTCTTGGGATTTGTTTTCTGTACAAATAGTAGATGATTTCAGTAATGGAGATGAATTTTTTCAGTGCTTATGAAAGTTCTCATTTTTGTCTCACAGGGTATTGAGTATAAAGTTGGAAAATTTCCCTTTGCTGCTAATAGCAGAGCTAAGACAAATGCTGACACAGATGGCATGGTGAAGATTCTTGGGCACAAATCAACAGACCGAGTACTGGGAGCACATATTCTAGGACCAGTGAGTATTGTAAAAATAGAAATTCCATTGAGAATCTTGGAAAGCATTGCTATTTTACAGGTTAATTTTAAACTACCTGGTATTTACATTCTGATGTTATTATCAACAAAAGTTTGAATAAGGCTTCTGTGCATCATTTCTACCAGGGTACCAACAGTACTCTCACAGTCTTGATATAGTAGTATATCATCTATACTACAGCTAAATCATCCCTTTAAAACATACACTACGCCATATCCCTGCTTAAAACCCTCCAGCGGTGCTTTTAAACTTCAAACTGTTAAAGATGAGCCCTCACTGAATCTAGCCTTACTCTGCTCACCTTTCTGACCTCATCTCTCTGTTCTCCCTGTCTATTCTCAYTAATTTTTTACCACATCAGTCTTATTTTTATAATAGGCCTTTGTGCTTGTAGGATCTTCTGYCTAGAATGCTCTGCCTCCAGATTTTGTTCTTGTTATTCCCTCCTAAGGGAAGCCTTCACTCAGTCTACAGTGTATTCTTCCCCTAGGTATCTGCTGTAACAATATATGATATTTGAGTGCTTTCTATGTTGCTTTTCCTAAGTATATACATTAACCTTATTTAATTTTTATAATAGGCTTGTGAGATAGGTGCTATTATTGAAGTGATGAAATTAAATGAAGCACATAGAGCCAATGAGTGGTTGAGGTAGCGAGTGAAGTGATTTGAATCCATCTGGCTTCAGAGCCCAAACTCTTCTGTGTCACCTTTTCCTGAATTTTCCTCAGTTGCCATAATGGCAAACAAGACTTAAAATTCTGTTCTCTTAATAATTGCTATCCTATTAGTACACAGTTGTTTTCCCTTAAAGCAAAATTACTTTTTGGCTTATTTTAAAGGGTGCTGGAGAAATGGTAAATGAAGCTGCTCTGGCTTTGGAATATGGAGCCTCCTGTGAAGATATAGCTAGAGTCTGCCATGCACATCCGGTAATTATTAACAACACACAGAATTATGGGCTACCTAAACTTTCTTCTGACCCACAAATATTTGATTTTTAATTTTACATTTTTTTCCCTTGCAGACCTTATCAGAAGCTTTTAGAGAAGCAAACCTGGCTGCATCATTTGGCAAATCAATCAATTTTTAAATTAGAAGATATATTTTCTGAAATCTCCTGGAAGCTTTTGTAGAGGTCACAGGATATGCTCACAGTTCCAACAATTCTAGGACTGAATTATGAAACTTTTGGAAGGAATTTAATAGGCTTGGAAAGAATGGAAAGTCTATATTTTGAAATATTTTGTTTCAGTGCATTACTATGCAGGACAAAAAGCTATTAATAATAGAATCCTGCAATGTTTTCATCAACCCATATTTTCATGCTACTTATGAAAGGCTCAACCTCCTTCAATTAATGTTAAGTGGCTTTTATCTGATTCAGTAAAGTTGGATTTATTTTTTACAAGGATGGAGCCTAGAGTATGGTTTGTCAGCAACTGTGTTTGAAAGAAGGTGATCAAGTTATTTTAAATYTGGTTTTCATATTGGAAACAAATCAGTTATTAGAACTGATTATTAAAACAGTTATTAAAATATATATGAACTGAACTCGTGTAAATAAAGTGACCATCTCTTCCATTTCAAACTCTTAAAATTCTTGCAGTTTAGGGATAGAATTTATGTATTTCAGGGGTTTTTAAAGGTTCCATTGAAGCTTACAAATCTGTTACAGTTACTCAAGAGTCTTATCTACAGAACTCAAATATTAAATGGAGACTCAAATGTATTATAGTAAGGAATGAAGATACCAAAATAAATGTCTTAATATTCACTTACTGGTTATTCTAAGTGCATGTTGAGATGGCCCTGATTCATTTATGACTACATCTGGTGTATATTTTATTTATTACTTTTATAGTTCTGAATATCTCTTTTTCATATTGTACAACATTAAGTACATCATTTAAAAAGTCATTTCTCTTTCATCTGCTTTACAGATACCTAGTAAATGTTTAGCATATACTATTGGAGAAATACAACATAAAGGATCTTAACTTGCTGTCTTTTTCTATGTCATTTTCCTTGGCTGAGAAAACGATCATTTCTTTAAAGAGTTATAAAGTTGCATTTACTGATAAGATAAATAACCATTTTAAATACTTAAGGCCAAGTACTAAATGCTAAATAGGCTTTTCCATGCTATAACTAAATTTGAAAATCATTTCAGATTCCTGAAGTTTTCATATTTGGTATAGATTGCAGAGACTTCTAAAAAGGAACATAAAAATTTAAAATATTAGCAATAGGGAAACTAGATATTCACTGGATTGCAATCTAAAGGTTATAGTTTTTAGGAAAGTTTGGAGATTGATTACAGTCAGTTGATTGTAGCTAAAATGAAAAGTTTATTAGTCTTTAATTACATTATATGGTTCACATTTTCCTTTATTGTGTTTAGTGATCTTAGGGATTATATTATAGTCATGACTGGTGTACTATAAAGACCGGCTTCTCTTATATAACTCTGAAAAATATTGAAAAAAAATTAATTGGGCAGTTGACRTAAACTTCATACTTTTGTTGGGTAGGGGAACTGCTAAAATTTCTAGTGTTTTAGCTTTATTTGAGCTGCCTGAATATATATAGTTTAAAAACTAGCTAGGAATTGGGCCAAGGGGGTCTTTACTTTCCTTGAGACTTTCCCCTTCATATTCCAGCTGTTGGGGTTGCCCCAAATTGTCTTCTGATTCTCTAACAAAGAAACTTGCTTTTTGCTTTCCTCAAGTGACAGCTTTTTAAAAYGGGACATTCAGTCAGTTTTTGTTTCCTGCTTTAGTGTCAACTCACCTAGCTTCCCATCTGTTTTGGTTGCTCTCCAGTGCCTTTACAGTTTTTATTAAATATATCTTGTTCAGAGTTTGCAGTTGTTAGTAGTAGAAGAGTTGTTGTGATAGTTTACTTTGCTATTATTGCAAGTGACCTTCATCTTAAAAAAAAATCTCAATATTTTGATGCTAGTTTATTTAAATTTCAGGGAAAATTTGTAGTTAAGAAATTGAATGAAATATAATAAACCCATCTTAGAGGTTCCATTCAGTATGAGGTGGGGAATAAAGTCCTAGAATCAATGTTTAAATGTTCACTTACTGTTAGCGACTTAGTTTTCAGTATTATGAGGGCCTGTGAAGAGTGAGCTTAAGTTTAAAATTATTATAAAGTGAAAGCTTTTTAATTTTAACTGAAAAGGCATGGGGAACAGAGATGGTTTTTGCTATTTAAGAAAAAAATAATAGTTGCTCTAATGGTAAGATACTACCACTTTGTTATTAGAATTCAAAAAAAGTTACAAATAATTGCCTTAGACTAGAGGGACATTGACTTGTTGTCTAAATTCCAGCTGTTCACATAACTTACCTAGGCCTGATTTCAGATGCAGTTGTGCTGGATATATGAATGCATAGTYTTGGTATAAGAAGATAGTAGCTGGGCTGTAATCTAGTTAATTCAGCTACATAATTGACMCTGTCTTGGCAATTATACTGTAGTGACTTAACTTTATAATTAATAGTAGCATTGCTCTGAAGGCAAAAAGCAGTAAACTGTAAACTGTGGCCTGATTCTAAGTGGTAAAACTTATAAACCACAATTACAGAAATTGCTTTTGTACACATTCCTAGAGCAAAGTATACTTGCAAGAGCTGGAGATTGGAGCAACTAAGCAGTCACTGAACAGTGAAGGCTTCTTAGGCGCTATCCCTCCTCAATTTCTACCTGGGAATCCAACCTGGAAGTGATTTTTTAAGGGGTAGATTTTTGGAAGATGGTGACAAGACAAGATGGGTAATAGAGCTTATTTAAAGATATAACAAATTTGGGTCTTCAAGGAGGCAGTAAGCTTTTATAAATTCATCTTTACATTGAAAAAAAATTCTTTGTTAAAAAGGATTTATGAACACTAAATCAGCAAATGTAATGTAAGAATTATACTGTTTATATAAAAGCACCATACTTTATTTAACTTCATACAAAATTTGGTGATTAAAACATTAAATAGGTAATGAGTTTTATTTTGAACATCATTATATCAGTTTTTTAAATGTAACTATTTTATATTTTACTTTGGTCACCTCAGCCATCTTATAGCCTTTTCTTCTTTGTTACAAGCAGGTGCTATAAACAGCAACTTTCTGGCTTATATCCTTAAGGAGTGAACGGACCTCTCCTTCCAGTCTCACTAATTCTTGAGCTTTATCTTCTAAGTATTTTTGATTGTCCTCATATTTTCTTTCTAAATCTGTGGAAGATAAAAGAAAACATTAAGTCTATGATGAGCTGAAAACCTGGTCCAAACTGTGTTTATAAGGCTCTATTTACTTACCTAAGATAAAGCTAATAAACTTTCACCTTTTAAAGAGAAAGTGAGCCCAAGTGAAAAAAGACCCACCTTTGAGTAGTTGCAGTTTGCTGTTTGCTTGAGCCAGAAGTGTTTTTGCTTCATTTTGTAGCATTTCAGCTTTCCTTCTGGCATCAGCCGACTCTTCAGATTTTTTGGCAATTAAATTTTCTACTTTCTTATACTTTTCATCAAGTTCACTGTCCAGAGTCTGCAGTTCCACATTTAGACACAAAGAGGTGATAATGTCAGTAGTTATATCTAAGAGTCATTGTGTAATTATGCAGCAAGCTTGGACCATAAAGATRCTAATTCACAAGGCAAACATTCTGAACACTGTGGAGGCTTCATATTAAGTTATGATTTCAAAAAAATTTTTTTTTTTCAGAAAAATTTTGGCATTGCATCTAAGCCCTCAGATGAACATTTTTCCATAGAAAAGTAGCTTAACTACATGGAGAGCTTCATAAAGTAGACTAGACTACACATCAAAGAAAGTCCATCTGAAGAGATGAAGGATCCATCTGCATTTTGACTAATACAGGGTTTRAAAACTGGACATCAGGAAATCCAAGGAAAAGGGCAAACAAAAAAATTAGGAAAGAAGAGTAAGATTATAGCAATATAAAAAAGTGGGTAAGGAGAGAATTGCATTGGTTTAGGAAAAGTAGCTACAAATGATTCTCCTGAAAACTGTTCAAACAGTAGTCATGGAAATTTCATTTCAAGGTATTTTGTTCTTCATTGTTATGTCATTTTTATGTAAAATGCCTTATAAACAGACTACTTGGGAGACTTCTGTCCTTCAAACTGTAGGAAACTACAGCAGAAATGATAGCTGCAATAAACTTCATATATTGTTTTATTTTCACTGAGTGGTGTAGGGAAGTTAACATTTATGTACTTAGAAACTATAGCAAGTGGGGCTGGGGTTGTGGCTCAGTGGTAGAGCACTTGCCTAACACACGCGAAACTCTGGGTTTGATCTTCAGTACCACATAAAAAAATAAAAAATAATAAATAAAATAAAGGTATTGTGTTCAACTACAACTAAAAAATATTAAACAACGAAACTACAGCAACTTAGGAAAAATTCTGAGAAGGAAGGAATTAGAAAAATCATTTTACAGTTTTAATACCTCCCCACAAGTTTCAAAAGTATCTTTGGAGATTAACATTTATCTGCATAAATTTAGAAATTGAATGCATACTTCAAGCATTATCTGGCTTCTAGCTCAAAGTTTGGCTGATGTAAAATTTTCTCTGCAAAATATAGTACCTTCTAATGAGAAGGTGTAGTTAATTCAAAATGAGTCTGAAAGAGGTGAGATTTGATTTCCTACAAGCCATTCTCTATATTGAGATCTAGGCTTTTTCCGTTCTGCTTTTAAAGTATTCTCAAATGGCTTTTAAAGTATTCTCAAATTACTATATGCTATAAAGATCTTTCTGATTAAAATATAGACATACAAGTTCAGTATATGTATTTTAAGACTTACCCCTAGTTAACCTAGTTAATTCCAGTTGGGATTTGAAGTCCTAAGTCATATTTATTGGACCCTTCTAATATCTACTTCTATACTTTTCTATTTATATCTTTAAAAACTTATTTCAAAATAGGTCATTTGGAATGTTTCTGGTGAATAACCATGTCCCTTATTATCTGTCCCTTATTAATCCTAAGTTAGACAAGGAAGAGATTCGTTGAGATTTTATTAACTTAGCTATGAAGTTCAAAGATTTACTTACCTTYTTAACATCTTCTGCACTTTGTTTTACAGTATATACTACTTTTTCAATGTATTCTGCCTCCTCAGAGTTATGGGCAGCCTTCCGTTTAAGTTCTACCACGTTCTTTTCTAGTTCACTGAGGCGYTGGGAGGCATTGGACAGTGTTTCCTCGGAAGCTGCTGTTTCAGATTCGATCTRCAAGTATAATTTCAAGAACCCAGCCAATCATTAGTTTAAGAAATGGTAAGAATACTATGAGTACAAGTTTAGTGGAAGATTTAGAAGGATGCTATGTCATTTTTTTCTATGTCAAGTAATTAAAAATATAATTTTGATAAAAGTTATAAGAGCCATACTTTAGTCCTCATTACATCTCATGTATTTGTTCACATTATTCATTTGGTACTTCCAATGATCTAAGCTGAGATTGATGGAAATTCTTTTTCTTATTTGACATTAAAAACAAGCCCCAGGAAGCTTGAAGTAGTAAGTAAAACATTTTAGGGACACTCATAAACTGCCTAAAGAATGTTCACAAATAAGCAGCTGTGAGATGAGGGACTTCCACATGAATTTCCAAATGAATGTGAGTGAGAAATATAATTTTCATCCTTTTTTTTTTTTTTTAATGGTATGCTCTAGCAGTAGAGGTTTCAGCTAATGAATGCTCAACTCTCAAAGTTTTTAAAAGATTGTGAGAAGGCATATGGTCTAGGAAAGTATAGCTGAAAACTATACATATGGAGAATTATTTAGGGAAAGAGTATCTTGTCTGGGAAAATGTTAAGTGGGATGAATGAACATTGTTTCCAAAAAGCTAGCCAAAGTAGGCAGCTATTCTGGTCTATGACAGAATAGCCAAATTTCACTGACCATTTAGTTTGTATTAAAGGTGATGCTCARGGTAGGTCAATCCCATAGAAATAACTGAGTAACCATACTGTCTTAATATGAATTTGAGTATGGAATATGCAAAAATTTACAAATATTTCAAACCAAATGATCCTCAGTCTCATAAAGTTCACCTACTTGTTAATTTAGGAAAAAAAGTCTTGGAGAGAAATAATAATTCTTAGACAATAGTGAATAGATTTACACAAGCTTTTGCTAGCATGGTTTAGTTAGAGGTTCTCTTTGTTTCTTATTGTTACTGATCTAAAACACTTCCTGCCCCCAGAGTCCCTGAAAAATATCCACCTTCTTAACTTATATCATTAAACCATATATTTCAACTATAATATTTTCCAATTTGCTCTTAAAAACTAATTTTTAATTTAAATTTATTAAAATAAATAAAAGTTCATTAAAATGTTATTAGCACAATTAAGAAATTGGAACAACCTAGAGACGGAAATAAAAATCAAAATATTTAAATGGTTATAGGATAGTCTGGAAAAGAAACAATTTTTAAAAAATATTTTTCTAAATAAGTAGACTGGAGAAGAGACCTTATATGGTCTCAAAATTTAAGGAACAATGGCTAAGCAACTGGCAAGTTTCATTTCACTGAGGCAGTAGAATAGAGGAACACAGTTTTGCATCAACCAGTGGTAGCAAAACCATGTTGAAAAACCATCTCCCAGGTTTTAAACAGATGATGGTTAGCCTGAGAAGACTGACAGTGCCAAGTATGGGTGCTTGCGAAGTATAGGAATTCAATTAGTCATCAAGTTTTCTTCACCCATTAAAACAACAACAAAATACAAGCATAAAGCCACTTTCCTAATGTGGGTCACTTTTGGGCTGCTTTAAAAAAAAATAGTGGGACAGTATCCTAAAATGGAATTTTGAAATTTAATACTATACTTCATACTATTGGACAGAGGGCTTTTTGTGGAGGCAAAAAGGAAGGGGACTTAATGGTCCAGTGTCATTAGAGTCCTTTTTTTGTCCTTGAAAATTCCACCACTCAGTTTTAGCATCTGTGCTAAGGAAGTAGTAGTTCAGATTTATTTAAATTAAAGGAATCCTTTTTACTACAGAGTTGGAAGAATTCTTGTTCATTGATAAAATGTACTTTTCTACTTAAAAGGGGATGATAAAATAGGTATTTTTTCCCCACATTCAACTATGACTATAACATCTTACTGAAGTTAACAGGTTCTGGGTTCCTTGGATATCTTCATCTGCTTGTTTAATTGCCTTCTCTGCTGCAATTTGGGCCTTTTCTGCTTCCTCCAGAGCTTCCTTTACCATATCTGCTGTGATTTTAACATCTGTTGCACTTTTGCTGTATAAAAGAATGAAACATACTCTTTGTTAACATGAAAAAAAAGTAGGCTTGCTAAGTTGTTGAGGCTGGCTTGGAACTTGTGATCCTCCCCTTAGCCTACAGTCACTGTGATTACAGGTATGCACCACCAAGCCTAGCAAAGAACATTTTTTTTTTTTTTTTTTTTTAAAGACAGTCTTGCTAAAAAGACCCAGAGAGATTCACAGAGGTCATTCCTTGGTATTTCCTTGGTCAATGAAATCCTTTTGTAATCCAAGCTAGCAACACCAATATGTCCCCTACATGCAATGATGTCTTCAGATACCTGGCTCTCTTAGCTTCTTCTAACAACATTTCAGCTCTGGCAATGTCAGCAGCACTCTGCTGTAGAATAACCTCTACTTGAGAAAGGCTTTCAACTCGTTCACGGATGTCTTCTGTCAAGTTCTGTAACTGCTGTGGGGTGCTAGGCATTTCCATTTTCAGTACTTCATTAGCAACAGCTTCAATGCTGTCCAAATCGGCACTATCCTCTGTGAAAAGCAAAGAGGTTAAAAATCATAACTCATTTAACCACATCAGTCATCTTTGATGTGATTTCACCAAGAGATACCCACACTTCCTGTTTAAGAATTTATAACCTAACTGGGTAAGGAGATGAGACCTACACAGACCTACATGGTGTTAACTATGTGGGTCACTTTTGGGCTGCAGACAGTATTACCAGAATTGTCATAGTCTGGAGTAGACTGTAGGCTCTAGAATTGGTCATTGGAAACAGACATTTTGGCCTTTGTTGCTTTCCAGTGATTATCAAAATTACAGTTTTAAGATGTTGGTGCTCAATCACAAAGACACTGGTTGTGCGTTGCTTTTGAGCTGCTTTATAAAAATAGTGGAACAGTGTCCTAAAGTACAATTTTGAAAATTGTTGAACAGAGTCTATGCTATTTCCTAAAAGTGCCTTTTTAAAATTTTTTTTTATCTTTCTTAGATAAAGAAACAAAGCAACAAAGGTAGGCTGTAGATAGAGTAAGGGAAGTACTGAGCAGGTTTGGAAGATTTCCAAATTTGGAAGATTTCTGGATGAAGACTACTAGTATAGGCAGAGCATGTTATGTGAAGGCCTAGCAGAGTGCGTTGTTTGGATTATGGAATACCACAGAGGCAAGCATTTAAAGCTAGGATTGAAGGCAGTGGAACTTTCCCCCTGTAGTTCTGGGGATCAAACCCAGGACCTTGAGCGTGCTAGGCAAGCACTTCACCACTGAGCTAAAGCCCTTGCCCTTACAATGAAAATTTAAGGTTGGAAGGAAGCAAATGCAGATATGAAGTGTTGTGATATTCCTTATAAATTCCCTAGATTTGGAAAATTATAGAAAGGGAAAGAGAAACAGAGAAGGAGTATTCAGAGTCAAAGAAGCAGGAAAATCAGAATAATGTATTATGGAAGCCAGGGAGTTTCAAATGTCAAATGTGAAAGATGATTAGGCTTCAATAATATCAGACCCTTGTTCATTTTTTAAGCTGTATGTGTTTTTAGGTTGTCAAACGAACATGAAAATGGATCCCCAAAAAGTATAAGTAAAATGAAAAATATCCTTACCAGTCAAAAAGTTTCTGATTTGCTTGATCAGATTTCTCAGATCCTCATTGCTCTTGTCTACTTTTTCTTTGGTAGCATTTGTTTTCAACAGAACATCCTGAGCATTCTGTTTTGCCTCATCTGCCCTCAGTTTTGCTTCAGAGACCTAAATATAAAGAATAAATTATTTATGAAACAATTTCATTCTTTCTGAAGCAGACCAGAATGTTAGAAAGGGTCCAAAAATGATTTGAAAAACTAAGTATTATAATCATGTCTCTGGGAAACAAATTTGTCCCATTTAACCAAGTATTGTATTCCTAAATAGCCAAAGTATTTAGTACACAAATTCATATACAGTATTCTTACGTGGATAGGGCTAGCATTTAATTTTTTTCCAACTTTTTTAACTCTTCCAAAACATCTGGTTTATAAAATGTTCCCTAGTTTTTTTCTCAAGTACCAACATAAGTACTTTTACAAATGCCAAATAATTTAGCATAGGATTTTTGTAGTATAGATGGATGTATTCATTAACCTGCTACAGTTTAACAGTTCTCAAAAATCTTGCTTATCTAAGATTTGAGCTTCCTACACCCAAAGCATGTGCTATTCTGTTGAGAAGAAAGCAAATTCTTAAACTCTATGAATAAATATTACCTCTTTATCACTTTCCTTGGCCACACAAAAACATGAACTTTCATACTTGACACTGAAATTACCATTTCATTTTAGTTAGCATTTAGAGTTGATCACAACCTTTCAAATCCTCCAGTCTATAACAAAGCAAACCAACAAAAACAAAAACTGAGGCCATCCACTGAATTACCATTTTGGAGAGTTGTTCCACTTCAGCCAGGGCACTCAGGACATCTCGGTCAAAGTCCATAGCTTTCTGCCAGGCACTGTGGGCAACAGTGACCAGACCACCACAGCCAGGCCCCCCACACTTCTTCTGTCCTTCATCAGTTCTGCAGTTGGGGCCACCACATTCAGTCTCAGAACAATCAGCCCCTGGAGGCGTCCCACATGTCTGCAAGAAGCCAAAGATCAGGCACAAGAGTTCAGAGAGTGAATCTACTGTAATATAACAGCTGTGCAGGGCCTGGGTGGCCCCAGAGAGCGTGTAGTCCTTGGCAAGGGTGTTTAAAAACACAGTGTTCAGGAGAGAGAAACAATGGGCTCAGGAGTCAGCAAATCTCCTTATTTATAATGAAATAAAACTTACACCCCTCAATCCTGCCCAAATGAATTAGAATATCATATGGGCCATACCCAGGATATAAACATTATCTGCTTTATCCATTTGGATTCTGTCAATGTTGGAGCCACAGAATGTTGCTTTTTTTTCTTCCTAGCCAGTTGGTTTAAGGGAAAAAAAAAAGTATTGTGAAACAACTTTGGGCCCATCTCTGTGTTAGTTGCTCTGGTGCATATTGGTAACATAAAAAGGCCTATAGCCTTTTTTTAACTTTCACATTTAGGAAGGAAGATAGAAGCACTCCAGATCAGATGCAGTAAGTGTGAAAGTAAGCAAAGGAGAGACTACTGAGAATTATAGTAGTTATAGATGAGGAAGGGTTTGTTGGCCAGTGGAATTTGAGCAAGGGGAATGGGAGAAATTACAGATGCAAAAAGAAAGGAGAAAGCAGTCTGAACAAAGGTAGCTATAGCTTTTCCAAATTATCCCCTACTACAAATACCCACCCACCGACCCTCCCACACCACCTTTATTGTCTGCCAATAACTTCCCAAAATCACTGAGTGGTTATGGCATGCAAACGCAAATTGAGAAATAACAAGTATATGCAAATGCAGATTGGGAAATAACAAGTATACCATATGATGAAAAAGGCTGAGCAGGAACAGAAACTGTAGAACTGACCTTTTGTGAAAATACTAATACTATAAATAAAAAATTTACTGTGATAGAAAAGTAGTTATCAGAATACTCCCAAATGAGGATAGTATTTTTAAGAATTTTAGTAGATATAGTCAGCTCTCTGGCCTGAAAGTTTGAAGACTCTATATCTTAAATTAATAACTAAAATAATAGTCTTTCACATCTTTGGATTACAAGACATAAAACAACTTCAGAAAGTTTAATCTGTGTGCTATAGAAGAACATGAGTCCTAATCAAGAGGAGAAGCCAAAACCTCAGGGATGCTTTGTAAAAACAATCTGACAGCACATTAGGTCTGTTTTGTTTCAACAGACAGGAGCAGGCAGGAGAAAAACAGCATGGTTCTAACTGAATATCAACAAAGATAAAGAACCAGGAGGTACTAGGAAAACACAAAGGGATAAAAATATGTCTTTTTACAAGAAAAAGACAGTATAGAACCCAAAGAGTTCTCATAGGATAATAAACAAAGACAAAAACACAGTAAGAGAACTGGCAAAACTGGCTAATCTCTAGGAAGCTGAAAGGTGGAAAAGCCTGCCAGAGAAGGCGCGCTTTTGTAGTGGGGTGCCCACCACCACCGCTCCCAAGATGCCCTCTTAACAGATCAAAGGTCTGTTAGCATTCTAGTTTCTTACTGCAGTTTAGGGATTTCATGATGACTAGTTTTTTGAATTAGAATCAAGATTGCTTCCTTATGAATTCTAACTCAAAAAAATCAGTAATCACAAAATCTCTGAAATGCAGTAAGAAACTAGCATGCTAAAAAGACTGAAAGAATGGCATATCCATCTGTAACAGCTTTATCTACTGTTAGGTGCAGTTTATACAYGGTTCTAAGCCTTTGCTTTTCTTTAGTTTTTTTCATTTAATAAATGGTGAAATCTCTACATACTCCCTACTTCTAGGTGCTATAAAGCTTCACAAGATATTATCAAACCTTACAGACATCAACAAAATTGGTCATAATACAGTACAGACAGCATGTTTTCACTGATTTCAGAGAAAGTGAGAGGTATGGGGGAAGGAGGGACTATGGCTAAAACAAAGTGATAATGAAGTCAACTCTTTCACCTCAAAAAACACCATCTCTCTTTTGTTCCTCTGTTTCTAGGATCAGAGAATGAAAATATAGTCTTATTCTGTAAAAAGTACCCTCCAAATTTTCTCATGTATCCTTCCATAAAAAAAATTGTAAGGAAACAGGAGGAAGAAACAGACTCAGTTTGGCTCTCCTTTGGCCTTCTGCCTTTCATTAAACTCACTACTCAATTTCATTTGGCTCCAAAATTATTTTTTAAAGCTTCTAGGAAATTAATCTACTTTCTAAGCCAGTTTCAGGCTTAATCTTCACCAGGTAAAGTTACTGGAACAAAGGATCATCTTAGCTAACACCCATGGAAAAAATTCTTTTGCTCTGATTCTTTTGGAAAGTCTCTCACAGAATGATTCTGAATTCCCCCACTGAGACACATCTTGCACTTCAAATCAGAATAAGGTTATAAAAGACAGAAATCACATCATAAAAAGGATCATGCTTCAATAAAAAGTCATTCAGTCAATACAACAGTGTGGGAAAGTGGTCATGATTGTTTGGTTGCGCCACAGAGAAATAGCTGGAAGAGGGGGAAGGCTGGGAAAGCGCATACTCTGTTTATCTGACTTGGTCATGGATACCCGACACTGGCTGGGAGAGCTAAGCCTGGGAGTTTTCACTCTTACAGTGTTTTCTCCTAGCATACGGCAGAAGCGGGGGCCAAACCCCAAACCTTACCATTTTAGCAGCAGCTGAAAGGTCTAGACTTTGTAGTTTGCCTGCCAGTTCATCCAGAAGGCGAGCCTGTTCTTCTTGTTTTTCCCTGAACTGGGATTCTCTCTCCAACATCAGGTCTTCTACTTTGTCCCGGGTGAGAGCGGACTGTTCCACAGTGCTATTGGGATCTGTGGTGGAGGCATTCACCCTCTCTTCTGCATCAAGAGAGGTCTGGAAATACTTGGTAATACTATCCAAGGCACCTGGGGCAGGAAATGAAATCGCCCACAATTAATCTCATTGTACCCGATTTCCTCGCCAAGCAACATCCATATTTGATGCCCTAAACTTACTGTAAGGTTTTAGAATTCAGAAAAAAAAATCTTTATGAAGTAGAGCTTTCCTCTCATGACCAGTGAACCTAGTCTGTCCCATTAGCACCTAGTTGAGCTCTGAAGGATGCCAAACATTAAGGTGAGAGATGAGAAATTAATCACATATATATGTTGTTTCTATTCATAGGCAAACATCTAGTTCTTTCTAAATTGTTGATGCTGGGAAGTCTGTAGATTATATGTTCAGATGCTTTTTCCTTTTCTTTCTTTACTATTCAGGTCCACTCAAATGACCAGTATCATGTACCCAACAGCATAATGTGTTTTAACTTTAGGGACCTAGTTAAACAAGAAAAAAACAGTTGTGCATAAAATAGGATAAATAGTGTGATTACTATTTCTACATTCTTTTGCTTTTGGGGGAGGTACTATGTGGTCTGTAATACCAATAAATGAAGGATTCAGAAAAATGACTTCCGGGACCAAGCAATATTCTCAAATGTGAAAGGATTTGCAGAATTACCAACTTATTGTATTTGCTATTCAGAAGAGCTTCTTTCCAAGAAAGGCCAAAGGATTAAATCATTAACTGGAAAAATTAGGAAGTGGAACCCATGTAACAACTGTTGCCACTCACTCTGCGGAGCTTTTGCTATGTCTCAGTCTTTCTGTGCCCCAAGTCCCATCTTTGTAAAATAGAGACTTTAGTATCCCCATTTGTGCCACAAGCTCCATGAGAAAAGTTTAGGAACTATTAGAAAACAGTTTTTTCTCAGTATTATTTAAAATGTGAGGTGATGGTGAAATGTATTATCTAGGATTGAGAATTTGCACAAAAATGTGCTCACCCCTAATATCTGAGTTTTTGATAAATTCCAGTTGTTCAGCAAGTTCTTTCACAGTATTGTCGAGGCTCTCGGCTTCTGCCTGTAGGGAATCCAGTTCTTTGGCTGTGCTGTTGCTTTGTGAAGCTGTGTTAGATAATTTTACTTCTACTTGAGCCATCTTTTCTGTAACATCTTTGGTTAGTTTCCTATAAAAAAGAAAAATGAGGTTACCTATTTAAAATAAATCAAAGGAGAATCGTAAAGTCTCACTTTTACATTTTCTAATACTGTATCTACTATTTCCCCCTCTCTCCAGGGACTGGGATTGAACCCAGAGTCGCTCTATCACTGAGCTTCATCCCCAGCTATTTTTAGAAAAATTCGGAGACAGAATCTAAATKGCCTGGGTTGGTCTTGAATTTGCAGTTCTTCTGCCTCAGCCTCCTGAGCTGCTGAGATTATAGGGATGCCACATTGTGCCCAGCTGTATCTGTTACTCTCTGTGACTTCAAAACCAATTTAGTAATTTGTAACAATTCCATCTCTAAGTACTGATTTTACTCTTAGAAGAGATTCTACTATATCTAAGGAGTTTTCTTTCTTCAAAGACTTTGAAGAAAGCCCAGATGAACACCCAGCTGGTGTGGGCGGCTGTGGATGGGTTCCAAGTCCCTGCTGTAAAACAACACAGGTCAGTGCGGGTCTCAGCTCCATGTGTAAGCAACTTGAGGCCCACATAACTGCACAGACTGAAAAATGATTTTAGTGTAGAATTATGCCTTCCAGCCACCTTCCAAAAATGTTCTATGAATCTCAAGGATCTCCTGCAAGATGGAACATGCAGAGAGGAAACTCTACAGCCCACCATGAAGACAACAGGAACCACCCAAACCAGCTTTTCATATATGCCTTCTTCAGGCAAGGTTGCATCAAAGGCGTCTCCTTACACCAAACTGCCCTTCCATTTTTCATAAGAAAAAAGGTGATCATCTACTGAGAAAGAAACATGTAGCTTTCACATATTTCTTTGTAATCCAGACCAAACTGCATTTTGTGATACATCTTTATGTCTCCAAAGTTGTACATGCAGTATGTGGGGTGTGTGTGTGTGTGTGTGTGTGTATGTGTCTGAGGGGGCTGGGGGAGAGGCAAAGTAATATTTGAGAAGACTTATTTCTGGGAATTACTGGTTTATCTAATTGAATATAACTGTCTTCTCAGGAATATAATAGTACAAAAAACTGGGAAAATGACTGAGGCATGGTGGCATGCACATATAGGTCAGCTACTCAGGCCAAAGCAGGAAGATCTCAAGTCTGGGAAATCAGTGCCAGCATGGACAACATAGTGAGACCCTGTCTCTTAAAAGAAAAACAAGCTGGGTAAAAATTATGTTTAAACCTCAAATAATACCATGAATGACCTAACTTAAAAGAATAACACTTAACAGGTTCCTTCTATTTGTAGATTAATTATATTTTATAAACCCAATGACTTTTTTTCCTGTGGATAATAGTTTATTTTTTCAACTTTTCCCTGTCAATTTGTTGGTTCAAAAAAGACTTTCATTTCTTCTCAGGTCTCAAAAATAATTACAATAAAAAATCAAAACTAATTTGTGTATATGTGTGTGTGTGTGTGTGTGTGTGTGTGTGTGATGCTGGGGACTGAACCCAGGGCCTCATACAAGCTAGATGAATGCTCTACCACTAAACTATACCCCCAACCCTGTAATATTGAATTTTTTTTAATGAAAGATAACTTCATATCATAAAATAGTACATTCTTGGATAATGTTAAAAAAATTTATGAAACTAGTTTACAGTCTACCTCAGAGTAGTGGGGTTAGAAACACAGCTTTTCTGGAATGTAATCTCCTGGCAGGCTCTCCAAGGACACTGGATTTTTTGGTTCTCAAATAGGGGCATGAAACCCAGGCCAAGACTATCTCCCTAAATGGGCCTGCACTCAGAAAATGGCCTACCAAAACTTGTGATCGCTGCACACGAGGAGGCTAAGTTTCTTAATGAGGTAAAATGCCTCATTAAATGCATTATTACTCCACATCAGACATTTCTTAACTCCCTGGTCAACTACATGGTCTTGGGCAGAAAATCTAAGGCTTTAAAAAGTCAAGGGATCAGTTAACATTAAATCTAGAAGGATAAGGCACTTGAGCTAATGATGTCAGTAGTTAGTTCTCTTATTGCTTCTCCTATGTTGCCTTAGATATGCTGATTTAAGTGTCACCATACCAAAAAAAAAAAAAAGTTACTGAACTTCTGTCATCATGTAAAATCACCTCCTTAATGGACAGGACTTAGCTGTAAAACAATCCTCTTGTTCTTGCCTAGATAGTGAATTGCAGCAAAAACCCATAGCATCTGGGAAACAAACATTAGTATCCCTTTCTATTTTGTCCTTCTGCTCCTAAGTCTTACTGTACTGTTTCCTGGGGTCCTTTTTGGCAACTATCATTGGCAATTAGAATGTTTGAGGACAGGAAAAAATGAGGCTAGGAGAAAGGGTGGAAAAATGATGCCTAAGAAGTTTGGCATCTCAGCTCAATTCTCTGCTTTAATTGGCAAAAACAAACACTGTCCAATCAGAGAGGTAGGCTGGAGGAGGATTTTTCATAGTGAAGAAGTTCTTATAATTTGATGAGTGAAGCACTGGCCTAGTGGATCAATGGCTAAGCAGTAAAATAAACTTGAGAACAAGGAGTCTTATTTGTGGTGGTAGAATTTCCCTAATGGTAGCAATATAATGTAACTAATGACAATTTAAATTTACAATGTAACTTTTTTACTTTCAAAATTATCATTTTTACAATGTAGAGTAAAGGCAAATATTACCTTCCCCTTCCTCCACAGGAGAGAAAAGAGGCTCAGGAAGGAAATATTATCCAAGTTCATAGGCCTAGCACATGGCAAAGCCAAGGCTTAGTTATGGATCTTCTGTCTAAAATCCAGTGTTCCTTCCACTCCACTGCCTTTGAGAATTATTTGCAAAGAATAAAACATGCACTTATTCTAAACAGCAGCCTCCAGAGTCTTGGTCAAAAGTGATGAACCCACACTCACTCATCCAAGTGTTCACAGTCAAGACTGCTGGGAAATGATGGCCCAGAGCCTATTTTCACTAGCAGGACCAACAGACCTAACAGAAGCATCACACCAGGAAGGCTCTGCTGTGTAAAAGTTGAAAAAACACAGCAAGTTGTTACTTTAGCTCATTAACTACTTACTCTGCTTCCTCAAAGAGATTCCCGATGTTTTTCAGTGGCTCTGCTGCTGGGCTCTGGGCCAGGATGTCTTTTATCTCGTTGATTTTCTTCTCCACTGAGTCCACAGTCTCCCTGTAAGGTCCAATTACACCACTGATCTTCAAGGCTTTGGCTTTCTCCAGGAACTTGTGGGTCCTGTTGGTCAGCTCAGAGATGATCACGTCCCAGAGAGCAAAGCACTGGTGGCAGGGTRTGCAGTCGGGGAAGACTCCTGAGTACCCGCGTGTACACTTGTCACAGCGTGGACCCTCGACACCCTCCACACACACACACTGGCCTGTGGACTGGTCACACTGTGGTGTCTCAATGCCCCTGGGGTCACAGTCACAGGCTAGAAAGGAAACAGCAATGGTAGGTGATCTACTGAATCACAAGTTGCAGAAACCAGATTTGGCATTTAGAATCCTCAGTCACTGTTAAAATGGGAAGGTGTCAACTGTCAATGACAGTTTACCAACTGCTCATGTAGAGACTGCAAAGGCTTCCTCTAGCACATATGACCTTAACCCTTGTAGACCCTTCTTCACGGTATAAACAATTTAAAAATTAGCAGCTAACATTTATTGAACACTTCAACTATGTGCCTGGAATTTTAGAAAAAAAATTTTTTTTAGATGTTGATGGACCTTTATTTTGTTCATTTATTTATATGTGGTGCTAAGAATCGAACCCAGTGCCTCACACATGCTAGGCAAGTGCTCTGCCACTGAGCCCCAGCCCCAGCCCCTTTAGAAATGTTTTACATGCCTCATTTCATGTAACCTTCATGGCAACTATATGGGACAGGTGTAATAACAATCACTTCTTCACAGATAGGAAAACTGAGGTATAGAGAAACAGTCTCATGCAGAAAAAGCCAAGTCAGGAATCTGATTCACCATCCTAACTCCAGAGCCTGTGCTCTTGACCTCCGTCCCACCTCTGCCTCCAACTATGACTTCCCTCAGACCATGTGAGCACAGACAATTCAGGTTACATTCTGATGTGAGTCATTTGGCAGATGGTGCATCACTCAGAGCAGTGACTACTTGGTAAAATGCAGTAAACTTGATCAAAAGAAAACCAAATCTGGAAGAAGTCTCAGGAATCCAAAGTATCTCGTTTAAAGGCTTTCAACTACATATAATCTCATTCGAGACTATCTGCCACTGTGATAACTATCCTAACGCTACAAGCAGAGACACATAAAATGATCCAAGGGCCTGATATGGTTGGCATCTTATGCAGAGCCAGATGGCAGGAGGTAAAATCATGCCTGGTACAGGGTAAAAATTAGTGTTCCTGGGCAACAACAGTGATTGATTTTGTTTACTACAATCCCAATGTGACTGGACCCTGCCTTAGAGTTCCAAATCTCAGGTGACCAAATTATTTTTCTATCTTCTTATTTTTCTATCAATACTTGACACTTCCAGTATTTGTATAGTGTTTGACTAAATAAAGGCCCATACTACACAATGGTCTTAAATCCATTCTAGAAAAAGGTGTGAATAAGTAAAATAAATATACTTTTGTTTCCCTAAAACCAGACTATGATCTCCAAAGGCAGGGCGTGTCTTCAACCATTTTCCTATTTTCAGTATTGAGCAGAGTTAACTTGCACTTGGAATTGAACAGTATTTGCCAAATGAGGCCCTCACCTCATTTACATAACTCTTCAAAAGAAAATAACCCTCCTAAAACTGCTGGCAATGTGGCAAAGCTCAACAGATTCATATCTTCAAGATACTTTTATGAAGTCTTCTTGGGTAACAGCTGCAATTTGCCTCTTCCAGACTCTCTACTGGAACATCTTGCAGGAACAGTTATATTGACATTCCTGAGAGGGGCCTGCAATGCCTCCATCTTCTCATACCATTTGCCTGATCCCCATCTCACAACATCCTGCCTTGTGTTGCTAGTTTATCTTATATTGTCTTTGCCAACTACACACCAAATTCTTGAGCAACAAGTCCAGCACCATGATGAAGAAYGAAAGCTGGGAACCAGGTGCAGTGGCACAGGCTGTTATCCCAGCAACTTGGGAGGCTGAGGCAGGAGGATTGCAAGTTTGATGCCAGCCTTAGCAACTTAGTGAGACTCTGTCTCAAAATAAAAAGGACTGGGTACGTAGTTCAGTGGCAAAGCACCCCAGGGCTCAATCCCTAGTACAAAACAAAACAAAATAAAAAATTTWAAAAAAACACAACTCTTATGGAATCCTGGGTAATTAGGAAACTGAGTCATGGCTTTCACATCTGTAAAAGGGGCTAATGATTTTACCTACCTTATATGATTGCTTTTAGGATAAAACTAACTTAATTCTAAAGTGCTTAGAAGAGCATCTTRTCTATAGAAAGCACTCAAAAAAATGTTAGTTTTTAGTATCACTTTCTGTGTCTAATGGTCTCCTGCCCAATGTTCCCTGATTACATTTCCACTGGATTAAAAAAAAAAGTAGTCATGGTCATAGGCTTATTTACCAGTAATTTGAATGTTAGACTACTCCAGTCCTTAACTTTCATGATTACAAAATATACTTTTCTTGGTGCCTTAGGTTTTCAAAATTAAACTTTGGGGTTTCAAAATTAAAACTTGGTTTTCTTTTTTCAACATTTTTTTTTTTCAAACACCTTAGGCATGGTTCATTCTTTCCTAATTTTGGAAGGTACTCATACTGAATCAGGAAGTAGCTTAAGCTAGTTATGGATAATTTTAATTGTGATTCCTATACCCTTTATTCTGTATGTTCCTTGAAAAAAAGAGTTCCATGGTCAAGGCCCATAGGGAAGATTCTATATCCTCCTCTTGAAGATTAAGAACATATTTCACACTGATACACAACAAAAAAAATTCAGTAAATTAAAGATCCAGAGGAGTTCTGCAGGAAAAACAAACAAACAAAAAACACCTGTTTTTATATTTTTTACCCAGCTGTATCTCAAACTCACTCATTGGATTGATTGTTTTTTAGTGAAATACCTCCTGACATCTCAGAAAAACAATGAGAAAGGCACTACTTTCAATTTCTTAGATGAAGAGAACAGGGGGAACTTAGATAATGCTACACCTGAAAGGCTTATGATATTTAAATTTTAAGAATGAGTTTCCATATCATTTTGGTAAATCCAGTTGTCTTTGAGAAAACTTGGTTACCTGTGTAGCTTACACCAAAATCACTTGGAGGGATCATGAAACAGATGGCTTCCTGCTCCCTCACGCCATGCTCTGATTCAGAAGGCCTGTGTGGGGCCCAACAACTTAATATTCTCCAAGGTCCCAGGAGATGCTGCTTTTGAGTATCACTAGACCTGACTTTAAGTATTGACCTTGTCATTTTTGCAGCTGTTTCTACCTTGCATGTTTGAGAGAGAGAGAGAGAACACATTCTTAAGGGTGGAGGCACAACCATGACTTTATCAGTTTATCAGTTCACAATGTGGATTTATACACAAGTATAAGGGCCTATGTGATAGAGGGATAAGCAATGCCACCCATGATAAACAAATCCACTTCACTTCTGTCCCATAAGCCCCAGAAGTATCTCTATGAATGGCCCCACTTACCAGAGCCCTCTTACCCCACTCCTTCCCTAGGCAACTGAGGCATATGCTACACAGGCTTTAGTTTGCTCAGAAAATTATTTTTTCCCCACAGCTCATGCAAAGGTACATGTTAGTTCAATCTTGCATAGGACTTTACTGGGTTCACGACTTGGGCAATGGATGCAGGCCTATGTTGAATTTATTTWACATTTTTCTAATAGGAATTTTTTCACCTATTGCATTGCTAAGGGCCTATCTTGCTCTCATTCTGTCATAAGCATCTTTGAGGGAAAAAACACTGGGCTGACACTGTAGGCTCAAAAGACTGATAAAGCTTCCCTCCTTATCTGGTCATGGGGATACAATTTGGGTTCCACGGGGCTTCAAATCTCTACAAAAGACAACCTAGCCAAACAGACCAACATTCCTTTCCTCCAACCGAGGAGCTGATCATCACTGAAAAAGTCAGTCCTGTACTCTCAAAGAATACAAAAAACAACTGTTTTAGAATACATCAGGTTTTAATTTCAAACTGAAGCTGGAAAATGGTTATACTCCTGTGAATATGTGCCTCCTTCCTGGCTTCTTGAATTTCCAAAATGGCTTCTCTTGGAGTCCCCATAGGAGATGAGCACCAGATGACCCACATGTGTGACCTTGTCAAAAGACCTTCYGCCCACCCCAGATGTTTTAATGATACTCACATGGCTGGAGCAGAAAGGTTGGGTCACACCTGACAATTTAAAACTTCATAGATGCTAACGTTATGAAGGAAATTCAAAGGTCATCTCTCACACCCACCAGGATCTAAACAGTGATAAACCAACTGTGCAAGCTGTGGCTGATGCGCTCCAGCAGCTTTCTATGAGAAAAGGTGTGCCTGGAGCACAGCGCTGCTTTAGGAAGTGATATTATTTGGCAGAGAACCAAGAACTTTCTCGTGGAAAGAGAGTATATACAGAAAAAGTTATTGCTTAATCTTTAACATGAACAAATCATGAAGATCAAGAATAGCATTTCAAAAATGAGAAAATTATTATTATTTTTTATTTTTTTTAGGTTTAGTTGGACACAATGCTTTTATTTTTTATTTATTTATTTCTATGCGGTGCTGAGGATCGAACCCAGGGCCTTGCACGTGCTAGGCGAGCGCTCTACCGCTGAGCTATAGCCCCAGCCCCAAGAATTAACAAGCCCCAAGAATTCCATTTTCATCTACGAATAAATTCTCTGTTCTGTGGTCAGGAGGTATCCTCTGTGTTTACTAAGTTTTCTTTTTTTTTTAATTTTTATTGTTGGTTGTTCAAAACATTACATAGTTCTTGATATATCATATTTCACACTTTGATTCAAGTGGGTTATGAACTCCCATTTTTACCCCATATACATATTGCAGAATCACATCGGTTACACATCCACTTTTTTACATAATGCCATACTAGTGTCTGTTGTATTTAAGTTTTCTTATTTAAAACAATTCCTAAGAGGTAGGTACATGAAGACTATTGTACCAATTTAGAAGATGTTGAGGCCCGGCGGAAAACATGTGCAAGTCGGTGTTGAAATGGAAACCTGCTTTCCTCATACCCTTCCCTCTGCTCCTCCAGACCTGATTTCACCATTGAGCAAAGTCTACCCTCAGGGACTGTCATCAGAGGCTTTTCACAATTGTGAAACCAAATCTTCCAAGACTCCAGCTAACTCTTTTTCCTATAGGTACTTCCTATGGCTTTGTCACTACACAACGTCCTTATCGTCCTTCAGCTAGGACAGTAATTTCTAAATACCAGCTACCAACAAGGAGCCACTAAGCCAGTGGAAAGAGCAGGATTGGGTGCACAGGCATGGCCTCAGAGCCCTGCCCTGCCCTCACTGAGGAACGTCTTCAGTCAAGCCCGAGTCTGAGATTAGTAAACAACTATGACAGGGAGGTTAGACTTACCCCCAAAGGTGGCTGCAAGGATAAAATGAAGACTGATATCGCATGTGTGAAAATGCTCAACATTGAGCAGATTCTCTGTAAATGCCCAATAAAGGTAACTTTTTCCTTGAGACCTTTTCTAAATGACGTCAGTTCCCACTGATCTTGCCCTGACAACTGAAAAGATTTGTTCTACCCTTTTCCTGCTTTCTGTGCTCCATTTCCCCAAATAGCCTGCAAGCACCTCCTGTTGAGGCGAGAGACCTGTCCACTCACCACTGTGCATCTATCAGTCAATGCTGGGCTCATTATCCACCTTTCTGTTGGACACTTAAATTTGCCTTGGGACAGAGAAAGTGCTACATCTGAAGTATCAGATGACAGATTATCTGCTGCCACCAGCTTTGCTTTTTAAGTAAAGTGGGTCTCTAGGATTTACAGCAAGACTAAAAGGTTACCTGATGTTTTACCTGGACATTTCCATTTCACTAAAAGAAACACTTGAATACTTTGTATATCTTATATGTGGTTTTCTATTTTCTGGCGATTGTTCCTACCCCTTCCCTTTTTTGGCCTCCGTACTATAACTTCAATTTTGGAATGAAAGTGGGAGGATGACTATGATTTCACCTACAGAAACTGGCTGCCTGACTAGTCCAGGAGTTGCAAACTTTTTACATAAAGATTCATTGAGTGACCATTTGAGGTTTTGCTGGCCATTCTGTCCGTCATGACTATTCAACTCTGGCACTGCAGCACAAGCAGCCACAGAAAAGATACAAACACGCAGCCTCCAAGCTTCTGTTCCCAGTGTGGGCAGTGGCCTGTGTGAGGTCCCTGCCTACAGTCTGCCCACTTTTTAGTCTAGCTGCCCACTTTTTAGTCTAGCTCCCCACTTCCAGGGACCCACATTCTGTTATAAGGATTAGATAAGACGTGTCTTCACTCACCTATCAACAGAATCTGTAGTTCTCCAAAGACTCAAAGTCCGATTTTCTGAAGCACAATGGAAATTAAAAAAAAAGGGGGGGGGGCAGGGGTGATTGTAGAAGAAATTCTAACCTGAGAAAAGAATTCAGGCATTCTGAAGATGACTGTGTGGGCAAAGGAATGCACCATTTTTCTACTGGAGAAATGTGAAATAAGAAACAAACATGATGGGAAAAAATGGCCACTGCCAAGGGCCTCTCACCTGTGCCCCACAGTTGCCTTCCTTCCTCTGGGTTTAGAGACACTGACCTTTTCTAAGAGCCAAAGGCCCAATGGCCTGGAAACCGTACCCTCCCTTTGCAATCTATGAATCAACAGAACGATTCCTTATGTGACCCTTTAGCTTCTGAGGGGCACAATGCAGAGCTCCAGGCTGAACTTTCCCCTAGCATGTTCWGCAGTGGGTGGATGAGATTTTCTCTCCATCCCAGCACAGTGGTGGGCTTGTTCAGACTTGGCACCATCAGCCAAGAGCCCCAACTTGCTGGGACAATAGGAACATTCAACAATTTTTATGTTGGAGGCTCAACTCATTTGTCTTTTACATAACTACATTTTTTTTCCATAAGGAGAATACTTAGCTATGACCTAAGTCTTTCTATAAGCTTATTGTTTGCAAGATGGCACCAGAAAGTCTAAATTTGTGCCCTCCAACAAACCATTTCAACTGAAAACATATTTGGCAATTAATTACATAATTCAAGAAAAGAGTATGTTCTTTCCCCATGGTCCCATCTAATTTTAGATAACACTTCTTCTTTGTTGATCTTTGGACCCAGTTCCTTGAGTTCTGTTACTCCCGTTTCCAATGCATAGCACTGCAAAGAAAACCCTGAGCCCAGTCTGCTTCTTACTGGCCCTGTGATCACTGTACCATATTGGGTCTAGCTCCCATTTCCTTCCAGTGTGCACAGGCCCTGTGGTTGGCAATGAATCACCCATTATGAATTCAATTCTCACTCTCTCTAGATGCTTTCTAGGTTTTGAGTCTCCTCTGCAGGATATCAAAGGCATTTGGGACCCAAATATTCTTGCCCGAGAGCCTGCCTTAAGCACTGTGGGACTTTTGTCATTCTTGGCTTCTGAACACCAAACACCTATGGCAACCGCCCCATCATAGTGATAACCCAAATGCTCCCCTTCCCCAAAATTTCCAAATGTCTCACCCCAGCCCAGTCAATGTGGACACAAAGGACATCGTGGGTCTAAACACGCAAAAAGATACGACAACATCTTATAACCCTGAATTGCCCAAGCTAGCAATGAGGTTAGGTATTTTACACTTAGATTTTAACACTTTGGGAAAAGGGGCTTTCTGGTTCCCATTTAGAAAAAAATCCTGAARATGAGATTGGAAAAGTGTCATGATTTAATAAGAAAGTAAGGAGAGAATGGAACTCCTATATCTAGAACCTGCCAATACCTCTAGGGTATTTTCCCTTGAATCTGTGTACTTTCTCCAAATGTCTTGCAACCAACTTTTTACTGGTTGGGGTTTTTACTCAGCTTTTTTTTATTGCTATTACCAAAAACCTAATAAGAACAATTAGAAAGGAAAAGTTTATTTGGAGCTCATGATTTCAGAGGTCTCAATCCAGATCTGGTCGATTCTACTGCTCYGAGTCTGGGTTCAGGTAGAACATCAYGGYGGAAGTGTGGTAGAGAAAAGCRGCTCAGGAAGTAGAGAAGAGACTAAGCTCAGCTAACCAGAGACAAAGTAGACACCCCAAAGACTCCTCCAGCCACACCCTACCAGCCTATAGTTACACCCAGTTAATCAAGTGGATTAAAGTACTGATTAGGCTAAGGATCTCATAACCCAATCATTTCACCTCTGAACTTTCTTGAATTATCTCACACCGGAGCTTCTGGGAGAYACCTCACATCTAAACTATAATAGGGATAGGCTGAATGAATGGGAAGACTCAAATTATAATAAAAGGGTAATGAAAATGCAAAGAACTGAGGTTGAATTTTTAAAAAGCAAATTCTGCATGCTTTATTTTAAAAATTATAAATGTAAAATCATAGAAAGAAGATTAGAAATATTCATGGCAAACCGAGTAAAGGGAGGAATGTGCTGGGTGGCAGAGATGAGCAGGGGCTTGGTGTTCTCCTAACACAGAAGGAGTGTTTGACCTGAACCCAGGCAGCCTGGCTCCAGGACTCAAGCTCTGGGCTATGGGATTCTCCACCTGCCTGGCTCCCTGTTGCCCCGAGCTGCTGGGATACCACTGCGCAACAGGAAAGTCCTAAAGCTAGATGATGTTTGTGGTTTCTTCCTTAACTAAAGTCTGATCACCTTAAAAAGGAAATACCCAAGGGAGACGCTGAAAGGCATATACATGTCTTAAATGAACCACTTTTCCTTGCAGAAAACTTGGTTTGGGTTGTGTATTACGTGTTTGTTTTTCCTGCTTATCAGTTTCCTATGTAATAAGCTGACTTTTCTTCTAGATAAAATGAACAAAGAAGTTGGTGAACTCCAATGCTACGAATCTCATTCTTCACGAAGTTTCTAAAACACAATTTAAATTTTGACCCAAACAAGCTGATGTGGGGGTCCATAAGCCACAATTTCTCTGACAGAATTAGAGGCAAAAGTTTAAAGAAAAGATAAAAGGGTAAGGGGTAAAGTTCTGACTACTCCATGAACAATTCTCTGATTGACTCAGCTCTTGAGTATAAGGCTTTTCATGCCAATAGAGCAAAAGGTCAGAGAGCTTTGGCAGTCAAGGGTGTTTTGCCAATGACACAGGCTGATAGAATCAGGGTCTAAGCAAAGACAGAGCCATTCTGTGGAAAAGAATCAAGCCCTTGGGGCACTATAAGATTGAGGAATTCAACAGATAGTGACCAGGGCCCTGCAGAAACCGGGGTTTAATTTCTAGAGATATCTTTGAGCAACTRGTCCACTGACTGTCAATATCTTCTAACAGAAGTGAGAAAGTCTGAGCTCATTAGAACCAACATCTGGACTGACAGTGATGAATGAAAGAGTATTTGTTTATTGACACAACAAACATCACCCACTCTGTGAAACAAACCTTAATCAAAGATGTCCTCACAAATCCTTCTAGCTAAGTCTCAGCTTAAGAACAAATCATATGAATTTGCTTTGGTGTTGTCCACTGTTTGAAGTTTTCCTGCAGTTAAGGAACATAGTTCCTAAATTTCTGGCCTTTTAAAAGGAGATATTTTAAGAGTTGCTCACTCAGGATCTGTTATTTCTTGTTCTCATCCAAAAAAGATGAGGTTATCCAAAAGAGAAAAAGATCATTTTTAAAATTTAGAGTCCAACAGGGAACTTACTACATGGTGTGTACAACAAAGAAATATGCCAAAGAGCACACAAACTATAGAAAATATCTAATTATAAATTTTAAAAAGGGAAGAAAAATTAGAAACAGAAGAATAGCAAAGAGTTGAAACGGTTTATTAAAATGTTACTATCAATGCTTATAGAGCCTGCTCCTACTATTACCATCAACGTTAACAGTAGAATACTGCACCTCACCTCGGCATTCCACGTCGGGATCTCCCCAGAAGAGCTCCTGACACTCGCTGCAGGTACGGCCTCCAAATCCCGGCATGCACTGGCACTGCCCTGTGAACTGCGTCCAGAACATAGATCATGGTTCAAGTGGCTTCAGGGCAGAAGCTAATTGTCACTCTTCACCCCTAGTTGCCAGGTAGGAATGGACTGAGCTGTCTGCCCGAGAAGGCCTGCACATGCTGACTGAGGAGAGGCTTGTTCCTCCAGCTTTGGTACCAGCACTTTTTATCTGCTCTCCTGCAACAGTGTTTAAGCAGGGCCACAGCATGATACAATTGATTTACACCTTTCCTCATTCTTTTTTTTTTTTCATTTTTTTTCTGAAAGGTTTTGCTAAGTTGCTGAGGCTGTCCTCAAACTTGTGATCCTTCTGCCTCAGCCTCCAGTCATCAGCTCCTTTCCTGTTTGTCCTCACAGATCAACATTAATCTTAGGCTATCTGACTCACATGACTTAGCAGCATGTCACTCAGCCTGTGTGAGTAAACAATAACACTCTTTACAGTGCTGGGTATGGCTATTCGGTTCCTTTGAAACTGAGTAAGAAAAAAAAGTCTGATTTGGGGGCCAGACAAGGAAGGGGCCCATTCTGGCCCACTCAGGTGAGTCTACATCTGCAGTGGGGCACTAAAATGAAATGCTATGGATGCATCAGATGAGGACGCTGCAGAATTAGTCACCTTAGCCAAGAAGGGGGACAAGTAAGGGCTGATAGCCAGCTCATGCAGTGCCTGCCAGCTTCTGTATTGGCCTTTCAATAACTGGGGCAAAGCCACCTAGTGGTCTAGTTGTCACCTAGGCTCATCCAATCCTCACTCCTCTGCCACAGCCCCTTACCTCATTACAAGATGGTCCGAAGGAATGTGCAGAATTACAGTCACATGGGTCACACCCAGTCCCACTGGCCAGCTGCCAGGTATTGGGCGCACAGCGGTCACAGTTCTGCCCGATCACATTAGGAAGACACAAGCATTGACCAGTGGCTTTGTCACACTGACAGTCAGACCCATTACAGTGCTCCTGCACGGTGCCCAGGTAATTGCAGACACACTCTGAAAAAGAACAGCATGATCAGCTTTACCTGTAGTTACACTCACWCACACACAGGTATGCAGAAGCTGGATACAGCTCATCAGCTAAGGTTTTCCCTCTCCAGATCTCAATCTTGACAGGCAAGAAGGAACAGAAAAAATCTAAAATTACTGCTCTTTGGAAGTTGTTATGATATACTACATCATTCTGACATTTCTCAGGCAAATGACATATTTGCACAATGCACAATGACAGATTTTGCCTAGGAGTATTTTCCAGATATACAGATCTAATAAGCTGCTGGTGAAACATTTTAAAATTGAAGATTTAATTGGAAATTTAAAAAGATATATGCCTGCGGGAATAGAGATATCCAAAAATTTCAAATTCTTGGCAAGAAAATGCAGTAATGAACATGTCAGAAAGAACAGGGTAGAAAGAAGCCCTTTAAACTAGTAAGGCTTGAAGGAATCTGGTCCTGCTGGTCCCCACATTCCACACAGGTTTCTATAGACCAACAGTGGCCTGGGGGCTTTGAGCAGTAGAGAAGGCTCTAACTGATCTCTTGATAAGAGAGAAAAAAAATGTGAAAGATTTTAGAAATGTTACTCCTTTTCACTAAGCTGTAGGGCTCTGCTCATCAATGACTCTGGAAAAGGTGTGGCCTACAGTGGTATTTAGAATCTCCCAAGTCCCATTTGGTCAGCAAGTTCCTAGGTAGAAGACGACATCCACACACTCCTTGTGTGTCATTTATCATGGTCACAGCCAGTTTTCCRTTTTGGTTTTCTCTCCCTGACATTGAGCCATATCTTGAGACTCCACAACTTGCCAGAAAATGCTGGAATGCTAAAAACCAATTCGGTCTCATCCTTGTTTTAGGGATTTAACTCAGGGGCACTCAACCACTGAACCACATCCCTAGCAGCCCTATTGTATATTTTATTTAGAGATGAGGCCTCACTGAATTGCTCAGCACCTTGCCATTTCTGAGGCTGGCTTTGAACTTGCGATCCTCCTGCCTCAGCCTCTCGAGTCACTGGGATTACAGGTGTGTGCCACTGCACCCGGCTCAGTCTCATCTTTTTAATTAAAACTGAAAATATAACCTTTCTGAACTGATGATACAAACAACCACCTGATGATTAAGAGAAAGGTGACAATCATTTCAACCAAGGGCAAAGARAATGTAAATCTTACTTCTACAGTCCTGCCGGAGGGCATCACCATAGTACCCAAATCGGCAGAACTGGCAATGGTCCCCTTCCGTATGGTACAGGCACTTGAGACACCTTCCAGTCTCCTTGTCACAAGCTTCTGGGTCTGTTGTGTCAATGTTGTGGTGACACTGGCAAGGCTGACAGGACCCCCCAACATTGGAGGGATTGCCAAAGTATCCTGAGGCACAGTCCTCACATCTGGAGCCTAGTGAGCAAAAACAAACAAACAAAAACAGAAACAAAAATACAAGACGATCAGCTTGACTAAAAAGCCAGATCACAGTCCGCTGATATTCCTGTGCCTAGAGAGCTAATCTGGATGCTTCGTCTTCACTGTGCTATTGACAGAGCCTGAGACCACTCCATCAGGCTTCTTAGCTGTGAGGGGGAGGGAAGTATTCTGTGGCCTTGGAGGCAACAGCAGGGCAAGACAGTTGTAAGACTCTTAGCACGTGGGACTTTAGCTTCTCATTATACAGGGGTSGAGCGGGCCAGGAGCTAGACAGAGATGGACACTATAAAGGGTAACTCGATATTAAACTCCTACCCCAAGAATTATATAAACTGAAAAACCACTGCACTTTCTGAAACAACCTGAAAAATGGGATTCTTGATGATGACCAATTTTCTTAAGAAATCCTTGAATTTCAGGCTTATGTGAACCACACAAAAGCAGAGCTAGTATTGAAGCAGAGGTTTTGATAATGAAATAAGAAGGAGCTGATGCTCATGACCAGCTAAATTCACTAAGTATGAACAGACAATGCGATTTTAATAATAAATCAGTGAGGAAAATGTTCAGCTCTGACCAACACGGCTATCTGCCAGTTTCCTAGATGATATTCTTTTTCATCCTTCTGCCACCATTTGGCCACCTCACTGCTTTGAGACAGTTTGGCTAGGAGTCAGACAAGGGAAGAGAGAAACAGAAACTAATCTTCCTACTGTTTAAGAACAGAAAAAGGTTTCACAGGGTTTTGTGTAGATTTGGATAAACTTGATATCCTCACCTATATAGCCACTTGCTCACAGCTTTCCAGGGGAAGAGTTTCCCATGTGCAGTTGATAACATTATTATCTTAGAGACTCAAGAATTAACTCTACCCACATGCCAAGTATGAAAATAGAAGGATCTTTCCAATTCCCTTAACTTTTACTTAAGGATTGTAAAAGTGACCTTAACTAACTCACCCTTCATCTCCTTCTCCTCAACAATGATCTCAAAGACTACCCTTTCCTCCCTCTTTACCTCCTAAAGTTGGTACATGACTTACCAATGTACCCAGGATCACAAACACAGGCAAGCTGTAGAGTCACAGGATCTTGGTAACAGCTCCTGGCAAACTGGCGTCCACTGCCAGGACCATCTGGGCAAGGGCAAGGGCGGCAGTGATCTCCTGACCCAATGATGGGGTCGCCATAGTAACCAGCCAAGCACCTGCAGCAGTCACGAGAGAGAGTGAGCCATAATCCAGTTTTAAGAAACCTGTTCCAAGAAAAGTCTTAGAAACTGTGTTCTGCTTGGGGACATCTTCCCCCATTCCCCATGTTTCCACATGGAGAACTTTCCACAGAAGCAGTGGTTTTTCAAACTTTTACCCCAATTGGGGTCCCATGGAGGACCTGTTAAAACATAGCTCGGCTCCTCTCCTCAAGCTTCTGACTCAATAGGTCCCAGGTGGTGCTGATGCTACTGATGTGGGCATCACAGTTGGAGGACTACTATCATTAGGATGATACCGTCATCTCACATGGCCACCTGCTCACAGCTCCTCAGATAAAGGATTCCCCACGTACACTTATTTGTCCCATAAGCTACCTGCCTGCCCCAAGTGTTGGGTTCTGCTCCCTCTTTTCCCTAAGGAGTCAGTCTTTGTGGACATGGTTTGTGCATCATGTTGGGGAGAAATGAAATGTTAGCAACCACGCGTCCGATCCAGTTTTTACCAGTAAGAAAGTAGACAGGGATGCTCTGCAACTATGTGACTTTGGAATCCATGTCTCACCTGGTGGCAAACTTGGTCAGCAATGAGGGAGGCCATTTATTAACTCCCAAATTTAGCAGGTCCAATCCTCTCAACTGGGCTCGGATGATTTGCCAAGCTTATATACCTTGTTAGATAATGAGCTATTATTTCAATTGCTGACTTTCAGCAAGAGATTCTTTTACTGTGTCATGCAAATATCTTCAAGATAAATCCATCCATCCTAGTTATACTTATAGGAAACTGAATACTTGAACTCACCCAAAGTTATAAAGCAAGTTAGAAGCAGAGGCGGACCATGATTTCCAATTCAGTGTGTTTTCTCTGTTTTGTTTTAGGGTGCTGGGGATAAAAACCAGGGCCTCATGTATGCCAGGCAAGTGCTCTACTAAGGACTGAGCCACAACCCCTGCCTATTTTTCATGCTTTTTTGGAGGTAGAGGTAACATATTTTTAAAGTGGGGGGGAAAGAGAGAATTAATTTCCTGTTCTGAGAAAATTAATCATATATTTTATTAGATACAGAAATAATACATGGACATATTTCTTAATTATGTGCTAGGTGCTGGGAAATTCATAGTGATGAAGCAATTTTGTACAATGGTATCTGAGGAAATTTCTGGGACTTTTCTAAGTAAAATAAAACATAAGACGTCATGACAAATAGAACGTACATTTCCTGCCCTGCCCTTTATTTCCTCCCTCAAGAACAAATCTAGCATACAGTTTTAAATTTGTGGGATTGAAATTTTGATCATCTGGGAATAAGGAAAAGAAGGATGAAAAATGGCTCAAACTAGAAGGCAGAACTCCAAATACTGTTRAAAAAGGGTTGTCCTCCAAACCCAGGGTTAAAAATCTTTTCTCCCACATCACTTCCTATTCTTTTTTTTTTAATTAAAAACAAAACAAACAAAAAACCCTTTACCAATAAAATCCCAAAGATAGTTGCAAATATCAACCAGTCTATTCTCAGCCGATGCTCTTTGAACATTCCCGTGTGTCTCATTTTGAATCAGCACTGTGGGTAAGCCACCTTTGTTCCCTACYCTCCTCTCTTCTGGTTAATCTTATTTTTTCATCTCTTTCTCATACTAATTCTCCATCTCCCTCTGAACAATCAACAAAGAAAAATCTAGGGCAGAAAACAAAAGATGACAGTGATATATTAATTTCCTACTTTCATCCCTGTGTAACTCTTCCCTTGTGTTCTTTTTACAGCACAATTTTGTGATGACTTTGATTCAAATTCTTAAATACCACTTTAGCATCAGGCCAAGARTCATGTGTTTGCTTCATGAATGTTTTTAAATGACTTAAGTTAACCACATATTCAGTTTTCACTAAACATTTTTCATCTGATAAGCAACTAACACCAAATGAAACACCTGCTGAAGACTTACAAGTGACTATATTTATGGACAGATATTACAAGAAAATTTATGGACATGGAAAGGTGGAAACTATAATCCCCCCTCTCCCTGCAAAAGCAGTTTCTAACAGTAAGGCTGCATTTCTTAATTAGTCATGAAATGATAAGTCAGTGTGTAATTTTTCACAGACTATTTTTATCTATTGAACTAAATTGTTAATGTCAATGGAGGTACATTTTATGTCTACTCCTCCGAGTGCTTTATAGTCATAATAATTTCTCAATTAACACTTGCTAGAACAGTTCTGCTTGTGCACATTTTATATGTCTCCTGGAAACTAGGATTGCATAAAATGTTTTGAAAAAACAAAGCTACTTAAAATGACTAATTCCATTTGGATTTGGTTTCTCCTTTGACCCAAATTAGGGATTAACATTTCACAACTCCCATCTGAGGCCAGAATGTGCCGAGACAGAGACATGATGTCTTCACAGACCTACTGGTGAGCTCTAAAATGACTCCATGAGGGCAGATTCATGGTAGTTTTGTTCTCTGCCACATCCCCAGCAACAGGCCACTGCCTGGCACATACAAGTTATAAACTACATTTGTGCTRCATAAATGAATGAGCTCCTAGGAAATACCAAGGTAGTAAGAAATGAATGAGCCACGTGGAGCCCAGCAGAGATGAAGTCTGTGATTCGTCTAAGAAAATATTTGCTCAGCCAAGGACAACATCACTCTTGTCTTACAAGAGGCGGCGTGCACATACCTCTCACAGTTGTGGCCTGTGGTGTAGTCCTGGCAGCCCAAGCACTCCCCGGTTACTGAGTCACAGTCATCGGCATGCCCGTTGCACTGGCAGGGCTGGCAACTTGGAAAGCCCCAGTACCCAGGTAAACACTGGTCACACTGCCGAGCATACACCCCGTGGAAACAGTGGCACTGGCCAGTGATCGCATCGCAGAAGGCATTGACGGATCCTTGAGGGTGGCAGTCACAAGCTGCAGAAAGAGGCCAACAAGGAAATGCCTTGAGAAACTCACTGAATAACATAGAGACGTGTCAGAGCACCCTTTTAAAAATTAGCAAACTTGTCTCCAAATCCAAATGTTCGTGGGCTCATGTGATCAGCTCCAGCACTGCCTTCCGGAGGGATGAAACACCTCCCCTACCCCACCCAGTCACTGTGTTGCTCATCTGAACACCTAACAGGGCTTCTCATACACCTACGTTTGCATCCGCTGGGGCCAAAGCCAAAGGTTCCAGGCGCACACCTGTCACAGGTTCTTCCAACCACGTTTGGCCGACACTGGCACTGGCCTCCGCTGGGGTCACACACAGAACTCAAGGAGCCCTGAGGGTCACATTCGCAAGCTGCAGGGTGGAGACAGGCCAGAATCTATGACATAAGCAGCAGCACCTCACACCCGCCTCTGAGCTGGCCCACCTCCTCTCTGCTGGCCCACCCTGGTCCTGGCTCTTACTACTCTGGCTTATTCAGAATCCCAATTTCAAATAGTATCATTCCTGCGCCAAGTGGGAGAGAAGAAATAGGGCAGAGAGGACAGATCAAACCAGTTTTTCTAGGCAGACAGTCATTCYGGCTTTTTGCCTGGTCTTCAGAGCTCAAATATCACAGGACTTAGACCTTTCTCTGACCTTTCACAGAAAAACAAATTTCTGTTATTTGATGCTCCTCTGACTCCACCCAATTCCCCTCTCTACCTATGGACATGCTATATCTTCAGGGATTTTTCCCTAGTCACCTGCTGTTCATATATTTCTTAAACACTGATTCCATCTTTAATGGTGCTCAGTTATCTATTAATTTTGGGTTGAGCCCAGGGGCACTTTACCACTGAGCTATATCCCCAGCCCTTTTTTATTTTTTCCAACAGGGTCTTGCTAAATTGGTGAACCAGGTCTCAACTTGCAATCCTCCTGCMGCAGCCTCCAGGCTTGCTGGGATTATAGGTGAACCACACCTAGCTCGATTACCAAAATATTACTTAAAATGAAGACAAAACCTCATACAGACACCATCTCCTTCTTTTAAACACGGAACCACTGGGTCTGCACTCCAGTGCACCTCTGATGCCAAGCACACTCAGRGCAGGAAGCAGCACCTGCCTCAGCTGCCAGGCTACACCTACCCAGGCCCATTTGATGTAACAGGGCAGAAATGCTAAAGATGATGTTTCTGCAGACATCAGTCATTGGTGTCTTCACAACACTTCTGCTGTTCTCCAGACACCGGTATCTCTGAAAGGTGTCCCAGACACTGTTGGTGACCCCATCTCCTGAGCCTCCCGTGGTGAAAATGTCYAGCGATTTACAATAAGGCATGAGAACAAGCTGCAAAGGAATGAAAACAGCAAAAAATCCTGATGGCTGTGTCCACATCGTCAGTTAAAGCAAGTAAACAGAAAAAAACCCCAAGGCCTCTTTGTTTCCTGAACAGAAGAAAATCTGACTCATTAAGTGAAATCCTTCCTATTCTTGAACCTTCTGGCCAGGAAAAGCTTAGATATACTTTACATAGCATGATTGTTTTTGAAATGCTATTGTTTAAGGCATTTCCTATTTTGGGAGAAAAGCAGTTTAAGTAGATCTTTTCCAWTGGGTAGAATTTTGTAAGCAAGGTGAACTTGGAAGGGAGAAAGAATAATCTGCTTTACCYCTCCATGGGCGCTACCCCCATAACACCTCCAGGAAGCATTTGGGCACTTTTTWAAAATTTTGGTACTGGGGATTGAACCCAGGGTGCTTATGTACAATATACACATTTTTAAATGTTCACTTTTAAAAAAAATAACTTTATTTTTATGTGGTGCTGAGGATCAAATCCAGTGTCTCACACATGCTAGGCAATTGCTCTACCACTGAGCTACAACTGCAGCCCCCTTCTTTTATATTTTATTTATATGTATATGTTTTATATTTTATATTTTTCTAAGTTACTTAAGGTTTGCTAAGTTGCTGATGCTGGCTTTGAACTTGTGATCCTCCTGCCTCAGCCTCCCGAGCTACTGGGATTATAGGCGTGTGCCACTGCACCTGGCATTTGAGCTCTTTTTTTGTGTATTTGATAATGGGGATTGAACTCAGATGAACACTACATCCCAAGCCTTTTTTATTTTCCATTTTGAGACAAGGTCTTGCTAAGTTGCCTAGACTGGCCTTGAACTTGAGATCCTCCTACCTCCTTCTATTAAGTAGCTGGGATAATGATGTGCACCATGGCATCTGGCTCAGTTGGGTACTTTCTGCCCAGGCTTTCCTGTATGTGTCAAAGGCGACCTGGCACTTACCGAGTCAATGAGYGTGTAGGGGCTCTCCACGTCAGTATCAGAAGAAGTGTACTGGGGCAGCTCCAGCCTCACCGTGTAGTTCATACCCTTCTCAAAGCACACGGGGCGGGGAAGGACAACATATCTGCCCACAGACAAGAGAAGACAACAAACAGCCCATAAATATCCAAAAAACAAAAAATAAAAATTAGAATGAAAAATGAAAGCTCTATAGTGACAATTCCAAAGGAAGCAAGTCCATAGTCAATGTCTGGCTCTGAAACAGTAACTACTACTTACAACAGACTAGACAAAAAAAAATTTTGTTGTTGTTGTTGTTGTTAATTTTAGTTAGTTCTGTGGAGCTGCAAACCTCTGTCACACTGACCTTGAGCCTGGCGATAATGACACCACCTGGTTGTCATCATCAGGAACAGTGTTACCACATCGGCTGCTGGTTGGAATCTTCCCAGGTCGCTGCACTGTGATGACAGCTTTTTCCCAGTGATCGGGAAGCTAGAATATGAAACAAACAGAGAGGACCATCTGCATTAGCCCAGGGCTGCCTGTCTGTTCTCTCCAAATCGATCATTTGCCAAGTTTAAATGGAAAACACAGATGCTTTTCCTCCCTCTTTCCCATTTCCTCTGCTATTGCCCCAGTTCCAGCCCCAATCCCTTTTCTCTAAATGCTGAAACACCTCTCRAAGGCCCTCCCTGCCTCTTCCCAGTGTCCCTTGTGGCCTACTTTCAAGCCCAAATGATGATGATCCCCTGCTCAAAATCCTTCAAGCTTTCTATGACTATGTAGCCCAYCTTCCTCACTGATCCTGGCATCTTCCTAACAGCATCTCCAGCCAWATCCTCCATCTAACCCAGAGGAACAATTCCCAGAAATCTTTCTTCTTTACTCATGATATTCCTTTCTTCCTTTGTATTCGTTTATAAAAATTCCACCCAAACATTAAGGCTTAGATTCAGCTTTTTTTTGCGGGGGTGGGAGGTACTAGGGATTAAACTCAGGGGGCACTCGACAATGGAGCTACATCCTCAGCCCTATTTTGTATTTCATTTAGAGACAGGGTSTCACTGAGTTGCTTAGGGCCTCACTTTTGCTGAGGCTGGCTTTGAACTCACGATCCTCCTGCCTCAGCCTCCCGAGCTGCTGGGATTACAGGCCTGTGCCACTGCACTCAGCTAGATCCAATTCTTTATGACACAGTTTGGCAGCCTCTGGCTCAGCCCAATTGGTGTCACTCCCTCCATCTTTTAGCCCCATTCTCACCTCTGTTGTCACACTGTCACCTCCAGCCCTTTACTATAGTGAGGGAAATGTGTCTACCTTTGGGCAGCCAGGCCTATAGGGACTCCTCAATTCAGCCAGGTTAAGCACCTTACTAAATGAAACTGGATTCAAGAAAAACAGACATTTTAGGGTATTCACTATCATTCACTGGTAGGGTGCTTGCCCACCATGCGTGAGGCCCTGGGTTTGATCCCCATCACCATTAAAAGAAAAAAAGAAACTTTAAAAGAAAAATATACATTTTAACTTTTATGAAGGAGGTTAGCAAAAAGTCAGAGTCTGATCTGTACCAAAACCAACCGCAGATTTCACAGAAACTTGAAGTCCCCATTAAAAGTTCTGTTTTCCACCAACACCCCCCCCCTCCGCCCACCCTGCCACAGTCCACTGGGGTGGTTCCTCACCTGTGGCTCATAGCGAATTAGGATGTCATACTCCATGGAATATGGTATGTTGTCAATGAAGAACTCCAAATAAGCCCCCTCGGGCACTCGGACAAAGCCAGCTCCAGTCCAGGATGGAATCCGGTCTGGGATGTACTGCCGTTCCACCACACTGACTCCCTGGGAAATAAGGGGAACAGTGCTATGCTCTATATGCAGTGGAATTCAATTTCACTTCACAGCCAAAGAAATCCAAAGCCACCCAAAAATTYAAAACCATGACTCTCATATCTGTTCTTCAGACACAAATTTCCCAGTAGGTTGTATAGAGTTTTTGATATATAAGCAGGTAATTGGTTTCTTTTCAGTTTGTGGTTGGAAGTCTTGGGACATTGGGGATGGAACTCAAAATGACAAGCAAGTCTAGGAGGGATGGAGTCATCTTCGGAGTCTCCACAAGGCTAGTCAGACCAATGTCTAATGGAGTTATTTCTGTCTCATTGGCGTTAGTTTCAGGCTCTAAGTACAAGGAAATAAACTCGATATGCTGATGAGCACTGGCTAATTACTAAGTCATTTCTGATGTCCTGTTCACAAGGTTGTTAGATAACACCTGTGGTTGGTCATCTCCAAAGGTGGCCACCATCAATTCTTTTATTCCTCTATCTRTAAGCAGCTTTAACCATCAAGAGACACAAACTACATTATCCTCTATGAGACTTAGTTGGCTGTGTGACCAATAGGATGTCAGGAAATGATATTCTGGGACTTCTGAGTCCAGGCTTCAAGAGATCTGGCAGCTTCTGCTTCCTCCTTCCTGGAAGCCAGAGGCCAGGTGAAGAAGTCTCGCTGTCCTCACCCTACCAAGCTAGCAGGAAGCTCAAGAGACCTGCTTGGAGAGGTCATGTGGATAAAAATGCCCAGCCAGACTCCAACTGCTTCAGCCATTTCAGCTGAAGTCTAGACATCCATTTTAAGTCTATATGATGTCAGATATAATTTTGGAGCATACAAAGAGAGAAGAACGGAGGAAGACTTTCTTACAAAGACAAATTTTTTAAACACACCAGCCAAAAGCCTTATTAGTGAATGCTTCAAAGTCTTATTTGTGAATGACAGACTGACTCAGCTTTAAATTTAGACTGTTTTCAATAAGGCATGTCCACACCCATATTTTGTGCTGACAAAAGCTACAAAAATGCATCTTCAATGGCCTCTATGCAGAGCACGTTTACACCATAACCCCCCTTATAATGCTGCTTTGCTAACCTGCCATGCACCCCTCTACTTACAGGCCCCAAACTGGCTTCCTCTGCTTCATAGAGGTAGTGATCCAAGGTGGTAAAGTAGTACCCAGATTCCACCCCGTCACACTGCCTTCCGATCATGTGAGGTCGACAGGAGCACTGGCCCGACTCCGCAGAGCAACTGCAGGGAGGAAGAGCAGGTCAGCTGTGTTGGCCATACACATGAATTGGTTCACTGGAAGCTGTTCTGTCTTTGCCATTAAACATTACAGGGGGTAAGAGRTTTATGTAGAATTTTATTTCCTTCACAAAACAAAAATATGTGAGGGAAAAAATAATGCCTGTGAATGAGTCCCAAACTCTAAAGCATGACAATGAAACCTCTTTTCAGTTTTACCTCTCTTTCTTTCTTCACTTATGCTCCACCCATGAAGAGATTTTCTATAGACATCACACACTTTCTTGCTTTGGTATCTTTTCTGTTTTACTTATATCCAACTGTGAGCTCTTTCCTGAGCCTCAGACCCAAATATCCAACTCCCTGAAGGACACCTCCAACTTGATTATACCAGAGGCACCCCACATGAAAGGGTCCAAAATGGCAACACTCAATCCCTCCCATGTTTTCTACTGGGGTGAAGGCACTCTTGCTCCCCGCTMTCCCCACTGAGTCAACTAAGTTGGAAATTTAGAAGGTATTCTACAGATTACTTCTTCATATACAAATAAGAATCAAATTCTGTGACCTTACCTCTTTGCATCTTATGTCTGTCTTCTTCTTTTCTACTGATCATGCTATATTTTGCTTCTCTTTCCCAAACAGCAAAGGCAATMAGTCTATCTGGAATCCTCATTGCCAGGTTTGGAACTTATCAACCGAGTCACATCACAGTGGCCTTGGGAAGGTGCACTCTGCACCTTCCATAATCTGCTGTTCTGCACCTCTCCAGCCTCATCTCTCCCACCATACTCAACTACTTGAAGTTTCTCGAATACACTACTTGATTCAAGTCTCCTTCCCTTTGCTTATGCTGTTCCTCCAGCCTGAAGGTCCTTTCTCCTTAATCCCTAGCAAAGATCCACATGTTCTTTAAAAATTCAACTCACACACCACCTTTGCAGTGGCATTTCCTGACCACCAGCCCCCATTCCATAAAATGAATTTCCTCCATAAAACGAACTTCCTCTCATGTCATCACCTCCTTAAGGGAGAAACAATGTCTCTTTTACTCCTGTATCTTCAACATCTAAAACAAAGCTCGTCGGAGTAGGAATTCACTAAATTGAAGCACTGGGTCTTCAACTCTCCAGTTTCCAGAGCCTCACTCAACTCCTATCCCTTTATCCATGTTCTTTTCATTCCCTCCACCATTCTCAAGTGGTGATTTCTGAGGTTTTAATTGTTCCTTAACTATATTGTTCTTAAGACATGTTGCTTTCTTCCTTATAGCATATTACTGACAGATTTCTCTAACCCCTTATTTCTCTAACTCCTTGAGGGTCTGAACAGGGCCTTACCTTAGTTTCCCCATCACAACTGGAGCCTAAAACCCAAATTACATGCATCCATATTTACTCCATTAAAATTTCATCTGTGCTAGGTGCGATATTGCACGCCTGCAATCCCAGCTACTTGGGAGGCAGAGTTAGGAGGATCACAAGTTCAAAGCCAGGCTCAGCAATTTAGGGAGGCTCTAGGTAACTTAGTGAGACCTCGTCTCAAAATAAAATATAAAAAGTGCTGGGGATGTGGCTCAGTGGTTAAGTTCCCCTCGGTTCAATCCCCAGGACAAAAAAAAAAAAAAAAAAAGTTAAGCTGTGGTTTGAAATTGTTACTAAAGTAACCCATTCTCAGAGATCCTTTTTTTCTTTGTCATCCCAAAGTTCACCTGAAATCAATTTTCACAGGCATCTGTAACATTCAGAGGCTTGTTTAAAATGTCCCAAATGGCTGTCACAGTTCAGAAGAAGACCTCTTCCTCCATGTCATGTCACTATCCCACAGAAACAGGAATCCTTAACACCCTATGGCCAGTTCCCAGGAAAGGAAAGCCTGTTCCCATTAGGAACCAGCGCTCTTGGCACAGGCTGCCACCAACAGCCATTTTTCAGAAATTCAGCCATCAGCCATTACATCATATGGACAAAAGAAATCCTCTTTTCCTCCCCTGCAGATGTTTACCAAGGAAACAAATGACCAAAACATGAACCACTAAAGAAGAAAACAACTAGATCCTTCAGGAGCAATCACGAGAGACAGGAAATGGAGGCAAGGATGAAGAGGCCCGGCAGACTCCCAGGCTGCCTTCCCTGAGGCACAGCTCCCAGTGAGGCAACTCCAGGAGAGTCAAATTTGCCTCAAACTGCCCTGCCATTGCACATCTTGGTGACTTTGTGACAGATGTGAATCACCATCTCTGATGAGCAGGGCTCTAGGACACAATGACTGCTTCAGTGAGCTCCTTCTTGTGGCTCTACCTGCCCCTACAGCTCCTGGCATCCCGACTCTGCTGTGCTTGCTTCTGTATTCCCAGCCATGGGTGAGACATTGCCATGGTTTGCCCAACTGCCCTCTGCACTAATTCATCTTGTCCCAAACTGTCCTTCGCTTTTCACACCAACTTCTTAATCTCACCTCTACTACTTCTGTCAGCAGAGTTTAAATTTTTCTGTTGGTGCAGGTCAGACATAACCTTCTCTTTTCTTTATCCCAATATTCAAACCTTATTTCAAATCATCTCTCAACCTAGCAGCCTCTTCCTGTGGTCACTGTGACTGTCTTAGCCTGTTTACTGTAGTAGCTTCTTAAACTGACTTCTCATCTCTTCTCCATCTTCTGCTCGGTTTGTCCTGTCAACCACCACCCAACCTGCCTTCCGRTGGCACTGTTTTCATCTTTTCACAAAACCCACAGTTGTTTCCCTGGATCTTATTATATCAAGTTGTGAAGCCTCTGCCTGCCTTTCTGCAGCTTCCACAACCCAGTCACTGAAAACAACTGCTTCTCTTCCCAGGAACCGTGCTTGGCTTTCAGAGGAGCCACGCTCCTCATACTCTTCAACAAATATTTACTAAGCAAATATTGGCCTTGGAAGCTGTGCTTCCTGGCACCAATACCCTCACATTGTCAACTTTCTGAACCAATCCTTAAACTTCTTTGGTAAGTCCATTCTCCCTCACTCAATGATATGCAGAAAGACAAATGGGGCAGATAGGGATGCATGTCCTAAGGAATTTATAGTCTAACTGGAGAGATAAACAATAAAGTAATTATCCAATGCAGTAAGAACTCTGCAGAACCACCAGCAAAGCACTCTGGGTATGGAGGAAGACACAGTTCATCCAACTGAGGAGACTGAGAGGCTTCAGGAAAGCTGTGGCACTGAAATTTGAAAAGGATTTTTGATAATAGTGGGGTGTGGGCRCAGACTATAATCCCAGTGAGTCCCGAGGCTGAGGCAACAGGAATGCAAGTTCAAAGCCAGCCTCAGGAACTTACAGGCCCTGTCTCAAAATAAATACTCAAAAAATGGGCTAGGGATGTGGCTTAGTGATAAAGCCCCACTAGGTTCAATCCCTGCTACCAAAAAAAAAAAAAAAAAGGATTTTTAACAGGTTGACATGGGGGGAGGTGGGCAGAGGCAGGAATGACAAGAACAAAGAGCATGATGGAGGAAAGTGAGCAGAGATGGCCAAGATCAGACCAGATCGTCACCGTGCCACCCTCATTCCTGTCTGTGTCTTTACCTCCTTTTCCTCTCAGCTAAAAGGCCCTCCCCACCCACCTAATCTTCATCAGTTTTCAYGACTGGTGCTCAAATCTGATCTTATCCACAGTGAGACACTTTCTGGTGTTCAAGTAATAACAAAAATCACATGTGATAGAAATGGTCTACTTTTTAATATTACATGTTCCACCAGTCTCCATGTAAAATAAAAACAGGTTCAAGTCATTGAATCAGTAAGATAGAATAATGACAAAATAAGTAATCCTCTGGGGTAGGCACTGTCAGCCTCCAAAGATGTCTATATCCTCTTCTCTGGAATCTGTGGATATGGCAAGAGGGACTTTACAGATGTCTTTAAGGTTAAGAACTTTGAAATGAGGAGATTATCATGGATTATCTGTGTGGGCTCCATCTCAGCACATGAGTTCTGAAAGGTGGGAGAGGCAGGCAGAGAAGTAAGCCAGGATCTGACCCACCACGGCTGGCTTTAAGATAGAGGCAAGGGCCCTGAGCAGCTTCTAGAGGCTGGGAATGGGCCTTAGATGACAGCCAGCAAGAAAATGGAAACCTCATTCTATGACTGCAAGAAACTGGACTCTGCCAACAACCACCGTAAGCAGGAAACAAATTCTCCCTTACTACAGCCCTTAGAATGCCATATGGCCCCATGGACATCTTGCTTTTAGTCTGCTGAGACTGACCTGAAGTGTAAAATAACAAATTTATGTTTTTAGCCACTAAAGTGTGGTAATTTATTATAGAAGCAATAGTAAAACTAATATAGGCCCTATGTTTTCCCAATAGGTGAAGAACAGATTTTTTTTAAAACAACAGAGACTTCTCATAAATATAAAAATTAGCAGCATTTAAAAGTTTTTTAGAAGAGTTTTTTAATTTTAATTTAAACAGTCATGTGCAAGGAAAATACAATTTCAACTTTTCCCTATTACTAAGGAATTAGGTGGAAAAAATTAAAGTACAGAAAGCATCATTCATAATGATAGCCACCTAATAGCTCAATACTGTCATCTCCTCCATACGTCTGATTTCAATTAAGAGTTGGTTCCACCCTGATTATCAACAAAACCACCCATTCTTTCCGGGACAGCATCACCCTATCATCCCAACTATACTTTCTAATTGGTAGGAGCTGTTTCTAGTATCCCTTTATGTCCACATCAGGGCAATTGGTAAAGGATTAGATGAACCATAATCATTTAATACACTGATGAAAATGTCTATTTTATTCTATTTATTCTGCTCTGGTTTCAAARTCGATAACTTTGAGTCACTCATTTATTGAGCACTGTGCTGAGTGCCACGGGAGATGTAAAAACTACACTGTCTGTCTAGAGACCTTTTAAACAAAGTTGTAACACAAAACAGAATAAAAGGTGGTAAAGAGATGCAAAAATAAGGTGCTGCTGAAACACTGAGAGAGGCTAGAGCATCAGTATAAGAAGCAGAAATCTCCCCCAAAGTGGTGGGGGCTCAAGCCAGATATGGAGRGCCTAAGTTTAATTAAGGGAACAATTTTGAAGAATGCTGTGAAGATGTTTATCTTTTTMAATGTTTCTGAACATACTGTTTACCTAGCAACCACTGCCACTAATTCTTATTTAGTAAAGCAGGCAATCTGCCAGGCAAAATTTCTTTAACCTGGCTTGAATTATATTACTTAAATTAGATCTTCTTTAAATATTAAAAATTTCAGATTAACAGTGGACTGAATAGACACAATCACTAAGCTTTTACTGTACCATCAAAAATCCATTTGGCTCGMGATACATTTTTAAATGTGGAAAACTTCAAATGACTTCATTCTGTCCCTGGCTTAAGTAACTAAGGATTGTTGAGGATCACRTTTAGAGATTGCCTAAGGAGTGCGTGATTACTCACTCCATCTTAAAAACTGTTTTGTTTCTCAGATTCCTTTACTCAATTGGCATTTAGTTAATACCTACTATGTGTCTGAGGCAAGCGAAGGAATTCTGTCAGGTAAAAGGTATTTAGAGTGCTTACTCCAAATCAAACACCCAGCAGATGTTTTCTGAGTGCCACGGATACACCACAGTCTCCTAGTAGGAGCAGTGCTTTAGGAGACGGGACCTCGGGGACACGTAGAGAAATTCCTCTTAGGGGAAAAMACTGGGGAAGACAAACACCTCTAGAGACCAATAGAGTAGCAGGACTRGAAGACATCTTTAAAGGGTGGGTCTTTAAAGGCTGGCAAGTCTTGTCAATCAGATGACTACCTGCTTTAAAATTTTTGACTAAAATTTTTTTGATTCACAAACTTTTGATGAACACATTCTGGATTTTATTAAGTTTTGCAGGAGACATTGAAGGGCAGCCAGGGACAGTGTGTGGGTGGAGACAYGCAGGAAATGTGTGTGGAACAGAGAAAAAGAGGAAGGGAGTGTAAAAAACAAAGCACTTAGGGTAAAGGAACRTAGGACATTCCTGAGTTTAGGACATAATTTGGAGAAATACGTAGGCTACTTCCATTGGCTCAAGGAGGGCTGTGGGAGTGAGGACAGCTCTCTATGGAGGAATCAGTTGCTAAAGGAATCAATAAGCCTTCAGGAGCCACAAAGGAGTCAGAGAAGGGAKTCCACAAGCAGACAGCAGTTCATCTTTTTTCCTGCTTTTGACTTATTCCCTGGATGTTTTCTAAGAACAGAAACTCTCRCTGGAGTTGCAGAGACTACAGGCCATACTGAGTCTGCAGCACAATGTGCAAYGGAACAAACCCAAATAAAGAGGCCAAACAGAACATGTTCTTGCGACCCCAAACATCTCATTCCTTCCCAGTGGACTACCATRGTGTTGGGAAATGACCTTGTAAGAGAACTGAGTTTGAGTCCAAGAAGCTTGCTCAATGAATTCAGCATGTTCTCCAAGGGGAGATTCAGGATGACAAGGGAACATCTGTTGAGTCTCTCAGCCATCACTTACACTGACTTTACCAGATGTTCTGACTCTGATCCAGTGAGAGACCAAAATTCTCTGGGGCTCAAAGGCGGTTTATTAAACTCCCACAAATTGAGCACCTTGCCAAATGTGTATTATAACTTTTGGTAGAGCTTCATGTTCCTTCTATTCAAGAAATACTGGCATATTTTTGTAACTAAAGAATTACTATACATAGTTTTTATTTTTGGATTTGGAAGCTACCAAAAAAAAAAAAAAGAAAGAAAGAAAGAAAGAAAATAAAAAGATTCTCCATGTAAAAGAATCTGTTTTCCATCTGTTAGATTGGCAAAAAAATAAAATGTTTAATGATATCAGCTGTTTCTGGGGATGGGGAAAAGGTACTTTTATAATCCTCTGGCTGGAAAGTCAACTGGTATAATCTGCCTGGAACAACCTGACATCTCTATTAAAATAAAAAAATGTGCATGTACTTTGACTTGGCACTTCCATCGCTGGTAACCTGGTCTACAGAAATATCTCCAAATGTTCGTCAAGATAGCAAGTATATTCACTGTAACATTTTTAAAAGGGAAAAATATGAAAATAAATAAGCCATGGCATTTTCACGTTAAAGTGCCAAAGAGCTATTGAAAAGAAAGAGGTAGATGAATATAGGCTGATGTGGAAAAGGTTCTACAGATGAAAAAGAACAAGTTTCAGAATATAATACACACGTTTCTTTTTTAAAACCCTGAATAAAAGTAGAAAACAAGGAGTACATGATTTTCTTTGAATTCATCTGTCAAAAAAAAAAAAAAAAATTACTAAAACTTAACATGTCATTTTTAAAGAAATGAGAAGGAATATCAATCTTTTCCATGTTTTATTGGTGCATTATAGAATATCAATTTTAACAAGCATATTAAACTATTAATTTCTAGGGAGATATAAGAAGCCRCTCATAGTGACACTTCTAGGCAGTGCTTAGAAGAAAACTGAAAGTGAGAACAAGAAAAGAAACACTTTTCACTTTAYACCCTTCTGAACTTAATTTTTTTTTTTTTTTTTAACCATGGGCATACATGGCTTCCATTGATGAAAAATACTGAAAAGGAAAACACCACCATAAAAACTCAAGTAATGCAAGTATACTAGAAGGTTTCAAAGCTAGATCCTGRAATAAAATATTGAAAATACTGAGACTGCGGGTACCAATAATTACCAGGTATTAAAACCAAAAATGGACATACTCTGTATAGCTTAAGAGTCAATAGACACTCAGGCTGCTCCTAGATGTGCTGACCTGCCTCAGTGACTGTAGTAAAGAGCACAAAGTGGAGCTCCACTCACCTGTTGTTGAATGCTCCCCCAAAGTCACAGTCACAAGGTCGACAGCCGTCCAGATCGTTGCTCAAGCCCCAGTGCTGTGGCTGCAGAACAGAAAAGATGAAAAGAGTAAAGGTGGGTTCCTGGCGCTRCACAACACACCACAAGGAACAAGTCACAGCGTGGTTTTGGTTTTTCCACCAAAGAAAGCTGACAGAAGAGACATTCTGAAATAATGAACCCAAGTTTGCAGGTCACAGGAGGCAGGGGATTATAGGTAATCACATGACAGGGTCACATCAGACTCCTTTTCTTTGTGCAATTAATGAGTAAGCAGAACAGATACCAATTTTCTTCATTTGAATTATGCTGGCAGTAAGTCACAGCAAATATTTGGCAGGACTTTTAATTTTCCCTCAGTTCAGTTTGTCATAAATCCCACCAGGAAAGCCCTTCAAGGATTCACCTKTGTGGAAAGACCACATAGATTCTTCTCACAACTGGAGGGTGAGGAGACCATAAAGTCTTTGGGGCATTTGAAATGGGGGGAAAAAAAAAAAGAAAGAAAGAAATGGGACAGTATCTATCAGGGAAGATGATTTCTAAACCTCAAAAATGAGCAGATTAAAAAGAGGCTACCCAAGCTGGGCATGGTGACATATAACTGTAATCCTTGTGGCTTAGGAGGCTGAAGCAGGAGGATTGAAGCCAGCCTCAGCAACTTAGCAAGGATGTAAGCAATCAATGAGACCCTGTCTCAATAAAAAAATAAAAAGGGTTGGGGATATGGCTCAGTGGTTAAGCACCCCTGAGTTCAATCCCAGGTACCTAAAACAAACAAAAACTTACCAACTTAAATCAGACTTCCAGAAATTTATTATCTATCAGGATTATATACAAATACTTTTTTTTTAAATGGTGATAAATGTAAGAATACCATAGAAAATGCAGAATAATGTTTTTAAACTGTCCTCAGGATTACTCCACCCAAGGCTAGGGATGTAGCTCAATGGTAGAGGGCTTCTGTCTGGCACATGCAAAGCCCCAGGTTTGCATGTGCTAGAAAAAAGCCCTCTACCATTGAGACTTACATTTATAACCAAACRGATCTCAGGCATCAAGCAAAAACAACAAAAACCCATTCAATCGTTTTGGTGAACTTTTTTGTGTATTTCCTTCCATATTTTGTTTTTCTTGTCGGATAGTTTTTCCTACATAATCAAGACATTATTCATGCCCTGTGTTTTCTGTTAAACAGCAGAAGCATTTCCTCATGATATTGTCATTTTCAACAGCAATCAATTTAGCACTGTATGGAAATCTCCAAATTTACTTAAYTATTTTCCCACTCTTGTTCCCAAGTCTTCTGCCATGATTAATAAAGAGGCAGTGAGTCCTGTGAATAATCTTTGTCCAATTTGGTGATTATTTCATTAGGACAGATTCCCAGAAGTGGGATTAGTGGGTCAAGGGGTATGCACATTTCCACAGGCTACTGAGATGTAGCTCCAAAATGCTTTCCAGAATATGAACCAGTCTGCATTTCTATCAGCAATAAACAAGTGTGAGCCCTCATTATGTCCTCACTAATAGCAAGTATTCTCATTTTTAAAAACTTACTAGTTTCCCTGTAAAAGTGGTATTTCACTGTAGCTTTATTTTATAATTTTAACTGTGAACATCTTGTCAAATTATTCACTAGTAATTCCTATATTGTGAACGTTCTACTTGTGTCTGTTAACATTAACACATAAGGGGTGCTGGTAGACTCCATGATGGTAAAAAGAGTTCTCTATTAAAACATGTCATGTTCACTAACTGTTCATCCCATGTGATTAGGATTTACCTACCAGACACTGGTCACAATGCTGTCCTGTCACCAGACGCTTACAGTAGCAGTAACCAGTCTCAGAATCACAAGGATTTCCGCCAGGAATCGTTCCCAGAGGGTTGCAAGCACAAGCTTTATTAAAGACAAAGTGAGGCAAAAAAACACACAAAGTGAGTCCAAAGTCACTGTTTGGTTTTAGAATTACAAAGTAAAATGGGAATTGGGTACATGAGAGAACTCCCAAACTTCTTACTAAACAGACTTACATTTACAACCAAATGGATCTTCAGCACTTAAGTCATAGAAGCCTTCTTTGCAAATATCACAATGTTCTCCTTCCACRTGCAATTTACACCGACACTGACCAGCAATGAGACCAGCAGAAAAATCAGTGTAACTGTCACAGATTCCCCCATTCTGAGAACCTGCTGGGTCACATGTACATTCTAAGAAGAAGAAAAAGGAGCAGGTTAAATGGACCAGAAAACACAATGTATTGTTATATAAATACACTGTTCCCTTCTACCCTCAAAATCTCACAAAAATAAACCAAAGAAGGTTCAACTATCAAGTAAATTCCACTCYCGACAGCCCAGGAAGCAACTAAACTAACCATGCTTGGCCTGCTGCTCATACTGGGCTCAGAGAGGGATGTTACTACAGACAATTCCATGTGAAAGGTAACCTAAAGTAGGTCCCAATGTGACATATCCCCACATACTTTCGCAGAGATTAGGATCTCGGATATCCCTCTCCGGGTGCTGGTAGTAAAACGGTTTGCACTGCTCACAGTTTCGTCCCATGGTGTTGTGCTGACAATCATCACACACTCCCCCGCTGACATTCCCAGTGGCCAGGAAGACGGCCATGTCAAAGTGGCATGAGCTGGAATGTTCATTGCAGTTACACTCTGTATAACAAGACCAATGTAAAGAAAAGACATTTAAGCCACTTATCAACAGAGTCTGCAGGAATAAGGCTCATGTAGGAAACCAGGAACTGAGTTCAACAGAAGAGCAATCAACAAGAAGGCATAGCCCCACTAATGATACTGGTTCAAACCCTAAATCAGGTTGGAAACTAAAAATGTGAACTCTCTGAAGCAAACATATTTATCTGTGAAAGAAAATGGACTATTAAAAAGGAAAAACCCTCGAGGGAAATTCTCTTGGAAACATATGATCAGAAGGACAGCTGCCAGTCCACTGAGGATATCCACAGGTCCCATTCAGTGGGACTGGGTGAAAGTACTCCGAAGGACGTAAGGTGGTACATTCCTAGGAAAGCCTGTTTGGACTCCCTGTTTGGAACAACAYGGTATGAAGTATCATTTTCCCTTTTCCCTATTCCTACCAGCACATCAGGCCTCTTTGGTAAAAGAGGTAAAGCTCTTTGGTAAAAATTGAGATTTTGTTGTGTTGTATTTTGTTTTGCTTTTGGTACTGGGGGATAGAACTCAGAGGTACTTTACTACTGAATTACATCCCCAGCCCTTTTTTGTTTTGGGACAGGATCTAAACTGTTGAGGGCCTCATTAAGTTGCTGAGGCTGGCCTCAAAGTTGCAATCCCCCTGAGTCACTGGGATTAAGGCATATACCACCGCACCCGACAAAATTGAGATATGTTTAACAGCCATCTAGCCAACCTTCTCAGATGTATTTCCTTCCTTAGCCTCTTTGGCAGTCATCCAACCTGGCTCCAATCATCTCACTCATGCTCAACACAAGGGCATACCAACTGCTCTTGTCTGGCTCTCCTGGGGCTCTACACTCTTAGCTTCCCCACTTGCCTCTGCCATAGGATGTTCTACAGAGGGACGTCCCTGTCCCTCTCATCCAGCAACCTCAAGTACCACTCATCAAGGGCCAGCTGGGTGCTAACTGCTAACAAAGCAGTGACCACTCCAGCTTTCACTGGTTTCTGAACTTTTAGAACATTCCTCCTAGCAAGGGCAGAGGAACTCTCTTAAAGGGGAGGAAAAGTGTATGAAATCAGAGCAGGTGGGAAGGGTGTTGCTTCACACTTCTGTACCCCTCTGCACAGAGAATAACATTGGGAATTATCCAGAGGGCGCAGCTGGCTGGCACGGAATTGAGGCTGAAAACCCTACTCCGTCTCTCTCTGGCCTTAATGATCCACCATGCCATATTTTTCTTTCATTTTCCCTCATATCATCTTGTCTTAAAAACAGGTAGGAGATCAAGGACAACAACTCAGTCTTCCTGGGTCAGTGCCAAACACAGAGGGGCTGCTCAGTAAATAGTAATTTTTGTTAAATTAACTGAATGCATACTATTGGTCTCCTGGAAATATCAYGGTGAGCCTGGGAGAAGTGTGTAACTTTTCTTCCTCTTCAAAACAGCTCACTGTTTGGGCACTGTGAACCAGAGAACTGGAATCCCAATTGATTCAAAACCTCCCCAGGGCTGAGACTTACTTTTACAGGCATTGCTGTTCCGACCTTCAGCAGGTCTCCAGGGCAAATCATGGTAGAAATCCATGCACAGTTCACAGTTTAAGCCCTTTGTATTATGCCTGCACATGCAGTGTCCATGGACCTTGAAAGTTGAAAAACAGGGGCCAGCAAGGTCAGGTCAGAGAAACTAATGGCCAAACTGTCTCCACAATCCATAGAAAATATAAACCCCTTTCCACATGAATTGCTAGCTTGCCACAGTGAGGGTTTCCTCGTTTTATCTTCTTCCTCTCCCAGCAAGTTCTATCCATTTCGTAGATGGCTATAATTCCCACTCTAGAATAGTTCCCATGACATAATGGATGCCCAGTATTTTATCATCCATAAAAATAACTCATATAAACAAAATTTGCTAATTTAAAAAAGCAAACTAATTACTTAAGAGTTTTTTTAAAAAACTACTGTAATAGAAACCTCAAAAGTCACAATGCAGAACTATATCTGGAGAGCAATTCATATTACTGCAAGTTTTGCCACAAGGCCAAATAAATTGGGGGGAGAGATGCTAGAAATTAGAACCAGGGGTGCTTTACCACTGAGCTAAATCCCAGTCCTTTTTATTTTTTATTTTCAGATAGGATCTAAGTTGCTGAACTTGTGATCCTTCTGCCTGAACTTCCAGAGTAGCCGAGATTAAGGGTGCATTACCATGCTCAACCCAGATAACCATTTTTTAAAAAGTTATTTGCTTAAAAAAAAAAACAAAACAACTTTAGACATAGCACTTTTTTCAACCAAAATAAAAATTTAAAAATCAAATTTTTTTTTCCTTTAAGTCAGAAAACAAAATCCCAGAAAGATACAATCTAMTTTGCTGCACTATTCATGTTATTTGGCTATAAAACATGTATGCTTGGGACTCCTGAGACATGCAAATGATAAACTATTTCTGCTCATCATATATGCATGTACATGTGTATTTCACCTTAACACTAGTTTCTATAAAACTGAAGTCAGAAACAGAACTAACAGGCCCCTTTTGGACTTGCTCTGACAAGACTGAAGGTAGCTGAAAGTAAAAAGTCCTCTAGCTACAAAGTGGTTTTATATAAACTGAAAAATGGTCCAAAGTTCATACCATGAGACTCTACAGTATCTGAGCAAACAGGACAACATACTCTGACACCATGAGAGTAACATGACATTTACTATGCAGCAGATTTGTTACATTGGAAAGTAACTGCACAATCTACCTGGCATTTTCTCAAAGACATACTATAAGATCAGTAACATATCTATCCCATCTATCCCTGCCTTCAGGCTCTGTTAAAAATCTAAGTAAGTTGTGGCTCAGTGGTAGAGGGCTTGCCTGGCATGCATGAGGCCCTGGGTTTGATCTCCAGCACCTCAATAAGAACAAAGTTATCCAAGTTGTTTATGCACTGAAACATCTAACTGGAGTAAAAGGAAGACAGAATTTTTATAAGGTTGAATACAGCCAATCCTGAACCTTTTTTTTAAAATAAGGATTAATAAATTTCAAAAAGACATTAAGTAAGCAAGGCACACCCTTCAACAAGGGAGGCCTGGAGTTTGGTGGCAGGAACCCTAAGGGAAGGGCAGGAGCACTAATCCGAATACCCATCTGTTATTCACTTATCTAGGACTCCTTAGCCAAGTTCTCAATCTCTGGTCTCTTCTACCAAGAACAGTTGGTTTAGGTGATCTTCTGAATCCTGACACTAAAATCCCCTGGGTCTATAAGAATTCTCCCAGAAGTTACTTAACTAGGTTAGAGTACCCTAACCCTTTCTACATATTTGGCAAATCACCCAAATTCCAAATTTTAAAACACTCATAACAGTACAAACACAACATGGAAGTGTACAAGGAATGAAATTAGAAGAAAAATACAAAGAAAACTTTTCTTGAACTTTAAATTTCTAAAGATATCCCATGGGTCTGAGTTAAAATTTCTAGTTGCTTTGGACTGGGATCAATTTCTGCTTTCTAGCATAAAGACTGAATACCTGTGGTTTTTAATCTTCCCTACTGTAAAGGCAAACTAAATTGTTATTTAGACAATTTTTTAATCCTTGATGACTAGAATATCTACTTTAGCAAGAGCCTATAGCAAAAAATTACAAAATTTCATTCAGGGTTTGTGAAATGAGCAGTCCATACATTCTCACAGTCCAAGAAACTGAAGAGAAAATCAGCAATCAACCACCAACCTGGTAAAGTGGTGAAACCTAAGCCTGGAAAACGAAACCCCCTAAAAAAATGTGAAAGGTTTAAGTTTAAGACTGAATCTTGCCTTTTAAAATCACCAGTATAAAGGAGCAAGCCGCAAGGAACACTGACTTACCATTCCTTCCACGTCTTCACTGAATCCATCCACAGGGGCACATTCACTGGCGTGKCCGTAGCAGAAGCAATTTCCTCGGACCACCATATCATAAACAGCATAGTAGTACTTTTCCCTGATTTCCATTCTGGAATCCAAAAGGTTATCTCCCAAAGTATGCAGTTTCACAAACTTGATTCTCAAGTTGGTGATTTTTAATAGATCTGTGAAGGTCAACCAAGAAGATGAAAAGTCTGGTCAAACAACCAAGAATTCTTTTGCAATTATACTTCCTTTCTCTTTAGAGCAAGGCTTGACAAATGAAAATGGCTTAAGAAAAGTTTACTCCCCTGAGATGGTCTAGATRACAGCTGTAAAGCTTAACATAACGTGATGGTCCCTGGAAGCAGGAAAGCTTACTGCCTTCTCAGTTTTCCAAGAATGTCTAACTTGTGTTGAATCTGTCTGAAGACCAGAGATTCACCAAGAAGTGTGAAAGTGGAGAAATGATAAGAATGCAGGTGTGTGATTACCAGAAGCCACTCGCTTCCCAAATACCATCTGGCACCCTCAGAGATTAGTGTCAGTCTCACAGAAAAATTCCATTCAGGTGGGAAAAGATTTACTTTCACTTCAATTCTTGTTATTATTTTAACAGTTAGGAGCATATTTTTCTTTTTCTATTTTTGAAGGAGAAAATACTATCTGAAATTTCCTGCCACTTCAATGAAATTCAAATTACCAAAATAGATTTAACATGCCAGAATAACTACAATTTAGGGAAAGAATAAGTCAACCAAGTTTTTAAGCAACATTTTGTAATCTACAACTTTTCTTGTCCTAGTTTTATAAAACATTTCCATACTTATCAATATAATATAGAGACATAAGGATAAAGGGACTTTAGTATGAGGATGTCAGGGCAAATTAATTTTTCTTAAATATAAGATCCTTGTAAATCAACTTCTTACATCTTTTTTTTTTTCATCCTGGATCTGAAGGCCTATGTATACTACAGAAGCTGGGCTTCAATTACATCCTCCCATAATTGGCTAAACCAACAGCTAGTCAACCTTCTCCACGTTTGTTTTCATTAATTTCTAAGTTGTTCTTGCCAAAGTGGATCCCGGGAGATTGGTTATTCCATCTGCCCCCTGGCTGAGCTCTGTAGCCTGAAATTGTTCATAAGCTTTATTTTCATTTATGCTGATACAGTCTTACAATGTACAATAGAAGACAAAAGAGTAGTGGCCCAGTGCATTAGATACTTTCAAAGCCCAAATACAATTTTATATACTTGTAATAAATGCATACTTCACAACAAAGACTACAGAAATGGCTGGGGGTGGAAAGTTAAAATGCACGCCTTAAACTTGTAAAATCTGCAGCAGAAAACCCACGTTCCTACTGAGCTGAATGGCAACATTCCCTACTGCAAAATCCTCCTGCACAAAGTGAGCACAAGCCCCTGCTGAAGAGAGGCCCAACCACAACTGTGAAGGGCAGCTGGAATATTTAGAAACCCTTGAAATGATCTTTGTGGAAGCCCTCAGAAGAGCAAATATACTCCCCTTGCTCTTCTGCTAGAGTTAACAATCAAGCCTCCTTGAAAAAACTGCTGTTCCATCAGGGGATCATCTTTGAAGTGCATCTCCGAGGTCTGTACAATAGGGACAACTCAAGAAACATTGTTCCCTGGATTACAAAGTAAATCCAAAGCATGATCAGCTCACGTGAATACAAAATTCACAACTGAATTTTGAAACATGGAAGGATGGCCTCATAGCTCACTCAGATAGTGGCACAGAGCTGGAAATACTATTAAATATTTGTTTTACAATAGAATGAATGAGTAAATTAGGGACCAGAGACAGTCTGGGCCACATGTAAAATTAATTTAAGCAGGGAAGCAGTACTTTTCTGGCAATATTCCCTGGATTTCTTCCACTCTATTCTTCCATGCTTCAAGCTTGGAAGTTCCGTGAGGACTTGGTTTACAAAAAGGGGCCAAGCACAGCTGGGAAAGATCAGCAAGGACCAGCCCTGCCTCTACTCAACTGATTGCAACTCCACAGCACGGGAGGCAGGCTCACCCTTTCCAGGGCCAGCTCTGTGCAATACCTCAACCACAGCTGGCTACAGTATTCACACCAACATCAGCTTCGATTTATTGAACATTTTCTATAGGTCAGACATTTTGATTGGTCATTTATATATGTCAATTCATTTTCCTTCCACAATTATCCTAAGGTCAATATTACTCTCTCCATTTAAAGATGAAAGAAAGCAGCAACAAAAGTCATAAATACATTACTTGCCCTGGGTCACACTGCTATATGATGGAACTGGGATCCAAATCCAGTTGATTCCAAAGCCTATACTTTTAATTATTGCACATTGTTTTCCAAAAAGATCAGAATGTAATACTATAATAGCATGAGCATATCTGCTGAACATTAAAAAGAGATCTGAACTGAGAATCATAACATGTGGGTTCAGATCTGACTGCCATTTAATAGCCACATCACTTTATGTATGTTGTCCAACTGTGAGCCTCAGAGTATTCACCTATTAAATGGAAATACAACCTTCACCTTACTGAGTACAGTGAGATGGCTGACACTTCTTCCTTCCCATCCTCCCTCACCAAGATTTTTAGCAAAGCATATGGCCACCTAGTTGGAGATGTTTCCTAGTGTCTCCTGTACTGTGGCCATGTGACCAGTTGCAGCCAATGGAATATGAACAGATGTGATATGAACAATTTCCATCTCTCATTTTAAATGAAACTTGCTTGCCTGCCACAGATTGAGGATACAGTGGTAGTGGTCTAATTCTAGCCACGTGGCTAAACCTGGGAAGAGACTGGCCATATAGCTGGGGCTACCCACATAGCAAGTAGAAGTGAAAGCTTAATTATAGCAGTCGAGCTACATTTCTTCTCTGGAAAACCCTCTGGCTGATTGCATAAGAGAAATAAACTTCTACTTTATTTGAGCAACTGTATATTTTGGCACTCTTTTTTACAACAGCTTAATCTGTATTCTAAACAATATACTGAGCAATAACAGAAGTAAAGCAGGATGATCAACATAATTGTTTGAGTACTTATGACATAAATCTTTTACTCTTATCAAAATATGTTCTCCATCATTGAAGACCTATTACTGATCATTTCAAGAGCTCCTGGTAGTGGAAGGAAGAAAATGTAGAAAAATGTAGGTGGATTAGGGACTGAATACTCGGGTTCTGGGTGATACTTATTTCATGAGTGCTGTTTCCCACCCAAACATTTATTTGAAAACAAGCTTACTCTGTATCCTCGGGCTATAAGGATCTTCTATTTTGAATGCAGGATCTAAAGCACGAAATATCACCTAAAAATAGATGAGAGTGGTTGGCATTTTTACAACGTCCAAAAAGCAGACTTGCAAGTAGAATGGAGAACAAAGGAATAAACAAACCTCTCCTTCTGTCGAGGGTTCAATGTCAGAATATCGGGAATCACAAATTATATCATCGACTTTTTTCATGGGACCAGTTGAGATGCCTGGGAACGAGCTCTCACAGTCATAGGCGAAGTATCTGTACACACCCCATGTTTTACCAAAGTCAGACGATCGCTCTATCAGCATAGCAGCCGGACGGAATGTCTAAAAACAGGGAACAAAAGTCTCATGATTTTTATTGGTAATCTGTACTTTTTTTAAGTCACACATGAAAATGTCACTCACTATGTGCCACAAACCCTGACTGCATGTGGCTGGTATTTCAGACAGCGGCTGGATTTCAACTACTTCAAGCTGTTTCATGGAGCCTCTTCTTGCAAGGAGAAGTGTCTGTTCTCTAAATTTTACACTTTTTCCTCATCTACTAGATTAGTAAGCTGTTTCTCTTTAGAAGTGAATTAGAAACAGGCCTTAACAGCAAACAATTTTTGGCACACTTACCCACCATGCCCATAACACAATTGGGTTTGGGTGCTCATTCTTTCATTTCTTCATGTAACCCTTCAATAAATGTATGAACAGCCTAAATGGACCAGACAGGGGCCTCTATGGATGTACATGTGCTCTAAATAGTTCAATGAGGTACTGATATGAGCRTAAAAAATTTACAGTACATGTTAAACACCATAGTTTAATTACATGGAGTGTGATTCAAAAAAAGAAGAAGAAATTAATCCAGAAGTTGGGAATCCAACAATTCTCTTGCTAGGTACATACCCAAAAAACTAAAAACAAGGATTCAAATAGACACTTTTACATGACCATTTATGCTGCACTATTCACAATAGCCACAAGGTAGCAAGAACTCAAGTGTCTTTAAACTGGTAAACCGATAAACAAAATATGGCAAATACATACAGTGAAATGTCCCTCGGTCACAAAGAGAATTATGATACTTGTTACAGTGGATGAATATTGAAAGCATTATACTAAGTGAAACAAGCCACACAAAATTTCAAATATAATAATTCCATTTATATGAAATATCTAGGATAGTTAAGAGATATCTAATAAAGACTGAAAGTAGATTAGAGGTTACTAGGGGAAGAGGGAAGAGACAATGGGAGTTATTGCTTAAGGACTACAGAGCTTCTTACACTAAAATGTGTTAAAAGGCAAATTTTATGTTATGCATAGTTTACAACCAAAAATATTTTAAAAATAAATAAAGCTAGGAAATGCTTCGCAGAGAAGATAGTGTCAAACAATCTTAAAAACCCTCCCTGGTTTTCTAGGCAGGGGCTGGAGGTGGTCAAAGGGGGCAGGAAAGGTTGGTTGGGGCAGGGTATGAAGGCAGTTGTTTGCCATTTTAAGGGGCTTACTTTACCCTTCTACAATGAAAAGGAATTCCTGAGGAATTAAGAAGAAAAAAGTTAAATGATCATATTACATTTTAGCGAAATAACGCTTTTGGCAGAATTATTGAATTTGGAAAAACAAGATAGGGGGAAACTAAGAGGAAAAAATTAGAAGTTTTTTTCCCCCWGCAGCTCAGGAAGCTGAGGCAGAAGGATTACAAGTTTGAGACCACCCTCAGCAACTAAGTAAGGCCCCAAGCAACTTAGCAAGACCCTGTCTCAAAATAAAAAATAAAAGGGTTTGGAGGTTTAGCTCATTGGTTAAGTGCCCCTGAATGAACTCCCCAATTTTAAAAAAGTGAAGTGTTTTAATTGAAGCAATTACAACATGGAGARAAACAAATGGATGGAATTGACTGCTCTGAAAAGTTAATGACAGTAAAATATGCTGAATTACACTTGGTGGTCAATTAGATCTCAGTGGAGAGGAAAGGAAACAAGGCACCAGTGCTGCCGATGACACAGGTTATTAGAGGAGTGAAGGCCCTTGTGTTTGGGCCTGGGGCATGTGCCAGTTACACGTGAGGTGCGAAAACAGTGGTCTGGCACTCAGCTTTGAGAACAGAGCTTGAAACATGAAGTCCCTGCACACACATAATGTTTGAAACCATCAACTATATGATGTCTCCAAAAAAGAAGCAAAGGCAAGATAAGGGGAACCAAGGTCAGTGCTACAGGAAAATACACCAGCGAGAGGCTAGACCAAAGGAGACAGCAGAGCCGGCGATGCCAATTACAGTATTCCATTTAACTCTCTACCAAGGGCTGATCTGACTTCCTTCCAAATTCCTATGTTGGAGATCTAATTCGATGTGTCACAATGTGACTCTGTGGAAATAGGGTCTTCAAAAGATAATTAAGGCTAAAGGAGATCATTAGGGCAGGCTTGAATCCATCATGACTGGTGTCCTTTGAAGAGGAAATGAAGATCCACATGCAGACTGAAGATGGTGTGAAGACACGGGAGAAATCACCCATCTATAAGCTGAGGAAAGAGGAAACTAACCCTGCCCATACCTCCAGCTCAGATTTCAGCCTCTGAGACAGAGAAAAAATATATATATTTATTGTTTCATCCCCCTGTCTATGATACTTTGTTAGGGCAGCCCTGGGAAACTACACACCCTCGTAACACATTTGACTTACAGAGGAGGAAACTGAGGCTCAGACATTAATTGACTTGATAGTTACAGGCAGAGCTTACATTTAAATCCAGGCTAAATCAGACTAGTACCATCTCCCTTTCTGGTTAAGGGCATAGAAGAGGGAAAGAATCGGAGGGGAAAGAGAAAAAAGATAGAATGCTCAAAACCAAAATAAGATGAAGATTTAGGAAGGGGTGATGAACAAGGACAACTGGAAGTAAGAGAAAGCAGAATGAGCACTAACAAAGAGCAAATGGGCAAATCCTTCACATAGACGAGCGCATTTTGGGAGGTGAAGTCAGACCACCATGAAAGAAGATCAAAGGAGAGTTAAGCCACCTAGGAAACAGAACCCAAATAAAGATGCCTACTTCTAAATTAAAATCAACACTTGACAGTAAGTTGGGGGAGAGCTAAGGGTGAAAATGAGCACATGCCTAGACCTCAGACCTCTTCTTAATCCCAAGACCCTTTTTCTCTGATAAAATGAGTCCAGAGTAAGAAAGTAGTTTACATTTTCAGATGCATAAATTACTTTTTTACCCATCCAGGAATAGAAGAAAATGATAATCAAACTGAAGGGAGACTAAGAATTTTAGGTAAGGGAGGAGATCCCCAGTGACTGACTAAACTCTGTGTGCCAGTAGCCATGGCATAGTCCCATGACATCATACTTCCTGCTTGGTGACACTTGGAGAGGGTCTGAGAGGGCCACGCCTGGTCTGGTGTCACTGTGTCAAAAGGAAAAGCGAGGAAAATAATTGAAACCAGTCTTCTTCTTCCCTTCTGGAAACTTCTAAGTTCCAAAGGGTCATTGGCAAGTCATCCAATTTCCTGTGGAGTTAATATGCTGTTGGAAACCGGAACAATGCATTGCACCTCAAGAAGGCAGCCTTTCTGTGCCCTTTGCTTAGTCATCAATCTTCTCTTGGGCTGTTACACAGTTGCTTCCAGATATATAATAAACACAAGAATTTGGAAACATCTGACTGTATACAAAAATCTAATGAACATACACAAGATGAGTTTGGCTAGCCTGAGAAAACCTAGTCAGTCATCTCCATGGCAAACTCGAGTGAGAATAAACACATACTCTTCATCTCCATCTCCAACCTCAGTTCCCTTTCCCTCTCCACCACTGTGGATGTAATCACCCCCTTCCCAGTTAGCCGGCTAGATAACCTCTGACTCATCCTTTTCCTTCTGCTGCTCTACCTCTTCTCTTTCTCCCCTTCATGGGTCAACCTTTGATCCTAAAGTATCTCAGCAATGATTCTCAAAGGCATTGGTAGCAGAGGGTCTCAGTATGGCAGCAAGAGGATTCATGGGAATGTGAAAAAGCTTTCCAAGAACATTCTGATCGCTCCTAACCTGGAAATTCAAAATGTTCTGAAATTCAAGACTTTCTGAGTGCCAACCTGACTGAAAAAGTTTTGAATATTGGAGATTGGAGCACTTTGGATTTGATTTCAGGATTAGGGATGCTCAAGTGATAATGTCTATGGAAATATTTCAAAATTTTAAACACTTCTGGTCCCAAGCATTTTGGATAAGGGATACTCAACCTGTAATATGGACTGGACTCCTGAGCTGCAGGAAGAGGCTCCCTTCTCTGTGAGACTCGTAGCTGGCCTTTCCATTAACACCAGCCCTGACTTCAGTAAGAGCTCCCAACTTGTCCCCTCTTCTCACTATCCCAGTCCTTGCTCTTTTTCCTTGTGGGTTGCCCTTTCTGAAACACTGGCCTATAAAGCTCAGGTTCCTCACCAAGGATACAAAGCCCCTCTGATTGTAATCTGCTTTGCTAATTTCCCTACCCTCACTTCCTGGAGCTCCAGGCAAATCTACAGAGCACCTGGCTTAACAAACCCTGCTCCACCGTCCCACCACCAGACTGTGTTCTCTGCCAAGAGTGGCTTTTCTTCCACCCCCTCTCACTGAAATCCTGGTCAGCCCTCCTGGCTCAGGTCCAGTGCAACCCAGTCCTCTCCCTGGGAGGCTTTCTCCTTGATCCCAGGCTAAAAATTAATATCCCCCTCCTCTATGCAAAATACAGYGTTTATAAAACTATCAAGTGCCCACAACATGCCAGGAGAGCACGATTATCCCCCTTCCCAGAGCAGAGGGGTAAGTCACACAGCCTTTGGATATAGGCATCCTTCTTCCCATTTTACCCATGAGAAAGCCCCACACCAGTAAATGGTGGAACAGAGATTCACACCCAAATCTTCCCACCCCCATATGTGTTGCTTTTCTCACTGGAGCTAGACCGAAGGGTAAGTTTTTTCCCTTAAACTACACACTGACAAACGTGTCCATCATTCACAATCTAGTTGCTGTTTGACCTTTTGCATTTGTGTGCATAATTTCACTTTGGCCCACTATATTCACTAGGATGAGTACTGAATATGTGCCCAAAGGACTTTTGAACACAAATAAACTCAGAACTATCCATCTATGTGAACAGATGCTCTCTCCAAGATAAAAGACAAGACCATTAGCATTAATAAAGGTGAGTTTCAATATTTTTAGGTGTCACATAAACTGAAGGCAACATCTTCATGTGTGACTGAGTTTTAATTAACCACCAGGTTGACTGTGTGGTCAGTGAGAGGACAAGTCTGGTGAAAAGAAGCACTTGGATGAGTTATTCTGTGACCGTTCTACCCTTCACCCTCGGGATCCGGTATCAATGTCAACCTTACTGTCCCAGCAACATAATCACCAGTTACTTGGGGGTAAGCAAGGAGATGAAGAGCTCAGGCCTGGGAACCACATGGCCCCAATGTTCCTGCTAGTCACTTTCTGGCTCCCACGCCCACCCTTGCTCCCTGGCCTCACAGGCTTTGGTAAGTACACACAAGTGAAACTTTCACAACTTGTTGGCCATATGGGACATGTATCCCAAGCACATTTTTCCTAACCTGAGAGGGTGTAGTTAAGTTCCCTAACTCCAACTGCAAACTGTTCAAAAGYGATTTTAATCTGGGAAGCAAAAAGCAAATTATGAGTTTTATGTGCGCCAACGTGTACTTTAAGCCATGTGGAGCCTGTCATTTCCAGGCAGCTGCTTGAGAAGAAACAAAGGGACTTTGTGCAGAGACATTCCCTAGTCCTGGAGTCATTTTACATCTTGAAAAGAAAAACGATGAGAAAAATCTACATTTAAGAAGGCACACACATTTCTTAAGGAACTGTAAAACTATTCCCACGAATTTTGCAAAACCTTGAAAACTAAAGATAATACACTTCCTTTTCAGCTACCAAGACTCAGCCTTAAAACAAACACATGGGATCAAAGATTTATGTCCAGATGTTTTATTGTGGTTTGGGAGTAAGTCAATGCTGCCTCTCTCTACGGAGAGTTAGAGAGATATCTAATTAAAAGTTTACAGTTGAATTACCTTAGAATAGAAGCTCTTTCTACTTATGGCCATGAAGACAGGGTATTTGTTAATGGTCATTATTCATGCCCATGTTTTAAAAATTACTCGATGATGATCCCAACTTAGGGCAACAAAAATTCCACTTGGGCCAACTCACAAGGACATTTGTTTTGAAAGGGGAGATTACACAGTACTCGCAAGTGTCATTTGAGAGAAAATTATAGATTTCTTACCTTGAAAGTCATTATGAGATGAGTAAAATGGAATTCTGCTTCCAAATCCAGTTGGATAGTTACATTTTCCACACCTATCAGAGAATTTTAAAAAATAAAGAAGGAAATAGTAAGGCGATGGGGACATCTCTGAACAACTATTTAAGAMTATTTTCTTAAACTACCCTTCGGCTCCTTGTAGAAATCCTCTTTGCCTTCCAACTTATGCCGAAGCTGAAGATATTAACGTTAATCCTCTGTACTTATTTAGGTAAAGAAGCATAGGCCAGAATGGGTCTTCAGTTTTCCACAAATCATTCTGGAACTCAACTTACTCAATCTGCTCACARGAACAAGACATCTGGCAGGGTGCCTCTCAGTGCTGTCAAGAAAGACATTTCTTGCCCAGGAAGACATGAAACATGCCCCAACCCACAAAGCCAAGCAATTCTCAGAAAGGAAGGGGGCACTTCCTGTACACAGTAGGGGGTCAGCTTGCAGTATGAAGCAAAGGAACACAATCCTCCTTTAATAAAATACAAATACTCTTTTTTTCTGTATGGGACAGCAAAGAAAATAAATAAATCTTGTGCATATATTAGTTTATGCCAACTTAGAAAAATCTGTCCCAGTGGGGGCAAACTTTGGATGCATTTCCATAGCCGAAAAACAATGCTAAAGAGACAAAGAATCAGTCAAGTAAATAAACTGGCCCAGAACAAATACTAACATCTTCCCTTTCAGGGGAAAGCCTGAACAAACAAATGAGCCTTTGCACTGTGCCCTGAGGGTCAGTCGGTCCCACTTGAACACACTAAAAAGGCCACTGGAATCCCAGGGATGGGAAGCACCTCCCCCAACCCTAAGCCCTCTAGCCTGCCTGTTTGGTCAAGGAGACTTTTCCATATTTCCAGATTGGAGGGAGCCTTTGGGGGCCATCTTCCAGAGTAAAAGAAAGAACTCTTAAACGCGGGAAGACAGGAATGTGTCGGAATGAATCATGTCACAGACTGGTTGTATTTTCAGGAAATCAGTGGGATCTTTTGAAATAAACTCTCCTGCTGGAAAACTGCCAAGTCGATTGAGGGGAAAAAGTGGTCACTGGAACGGATATGAGTTAGTTGGAATGTTAAAGAAAAACACTATAATCATACTGACGAAACTTATCTAACTTATAAGAAAGAAACATATTACAAAACTACTCTGAACACTTATTCCTGAGTGAAATGTAAGCTAAGGTGGTTTTACTTCTCTCCTTTTCCAGGCTTTTAAAAATCTGGGATATTTGTTCAAAATTAAGAGATAACGAAATAAAGTACAAAGCAAGACCAGCCCCATAAGACATTCTTACATGTAATGTAAGAACACATACCACAATGTGTGTCCCCAAAGCACACATTCCATTTAGATTTATAGCCTGATAAAGCACTATGGTTTTTTTGTTTTTTTTTTTTTTTTCTGATGACCTGTTTTTGAGTTTTAATATGAGAAGAAAGATCCATGGAGAATAGAAACAAGATCATTCTTCTATAGGGCATTTGATTTTTCAGATCTAGGAACAGATTACCATTAAGGGTCAGTTAAAAGTAACTGTATGTTCCAGGCCCATCTCTTGGCCTGAGCACTGCTGATTTAAATACCACCATGCATAAGCACAACTCACGCAAAACACACAGAAAATAGATAAAGTCACATTCAGAGAGAAAGTCTTTAATTGTGAGCTATCAGACAACAGAGAGATGTTAGGGTATAGTAACAATCAGTCTGACTTTCTAAAGGCCCAGTTCCATCTGTCTAATCTCATCTAATCTTTGTGACAGAGAACTCAAGCCCCTCTGTTTGGAAAATCCTTCTGGCATTTGGACTCTCTTGTTGCAAAAATTCAAAGCTGTAGAAATGGATCAACTCCAGATATAACTAAGAAAAACCTTCCCTAGGAACTCTATCACCTGAAAAGCAATTTTACTTATAAAACAGACAGTCTTGCTCCTATTGTCCAGGTACACTTTTAATTGTCTTTCCATTTCACTAGAAGAATGTGGAAGGTCAGGATACACTCTTGCCCCTGCTTGTAATACACTCCAGGCTATTTCAGAAATCCTCTGTGACTCACATTTATAGCAACGTTTGTCACATTGAACTGTCAACCAAAATATTTTCCTATAGGAATTGTTAATTCTTTAAGAATGAACCTAAATTATGCATACTTTCTGAGAATTGGTCTCAAATTTGTAACCAATAGTTCCCAAGGCCAACCCCTGAACAACTAACCCTCCCTAGAAAAAGTCTTCTAGAAACTTTTGCAATTTAATAGTGAATGACATGGAATATATTAAATTAAGGGAGTTCCTGTATTATTGGATGATAAATAAGTGCACATATCCAAAGCTCTCTAGGTATAGGCCTATGCTAAAGAAATTGAGTTGTATCCAGCCCCTTTATGTCAGACTTCTGTTCACTTCTTTGAGGGTCCTTTTCCATAAAATTTTAATAAAAAGATCTAATAGTACGTTGTTAATTAACACACTGATTTTACCTTTATTCCCTAAATTTCAACATTTAACAAATGTCATACTCACGTGACCTTAGTTTCTTAGCAAAAAGGGCATCATATTTGATGAATTCAATAAGTCAAAACCCAAAAGGCAAAGGAAAAAAGGGGAGTGGGTTTACACAATTATTGGGAAATGGTTTAACTTAGGGTCATATCCATATTGATGAACTCTTATAATCATATCACTATTATTATTTAACAGCATTACTATTATGAAATTTTCTGTAGCTGGAAAGAAGGTTGGGGAGGATCTCTGATTTTATCAACCCCTTTCCTTTGGGGCTGATAAAAATGAAAGCTATGTTCTGTGGAAGAATAAGAATATTGTCCTGAACCAAAGTCTATTTGTCAGATAGACATATGTCAGTCTCTATATATTTGGCAACAAGAGAGCCTGAGGAATATGGAGCTCTTCACACACCCTCCCGTGACTGCCCCTGACACAAACTCATTCCCTAAGGGATTCCTTGGGTGAGGACGATGGCATATTCCTGTGGTCCAGCATGAGATATCACTTTCTTCTGAGCTGTCTGGCTTCAGAAAGAAGGGTCACGATTTTACCAAGAAAAGTTATTGCTGCAGGCAATATRTCTGTTAGAGGCCATAATTACAGGACAGAAAAGCCAATAGTAATTACAAACACCAGGAGCCTGTAAACCCCATGCATGTTACCAATCACACCCATGGAACTTGTTCCCACATCAACCACATACCATTTTCGGATTGCCACCAAATCTTGAGGCGGTTTGGAGCAAATGTAGTGACCACATTTTCAATGAGATGGCTGTCAGGGTTGAGGGTCTCATGATAAGGATCTTGGGAATCACATATAAAGCATTTTTTGTCCTCCTGTAAACAAGTAGTTTCATGATTCTAGGAAGCAATCTCATTAAAACAAAACAAAAAACTAGCCACCACCACAACAAAAAACCCATTAAGCTCACAATACAAAAATCAAACCATTATAGCTTCAAAAAAGATGAATAAGCAAAAATTTCTTAAATGACTCTCACATTTTTAAGTTATTGAGTCTAAAATACTACTGAAAATAATTTTCTCCTTTCTTGCAAATTCAAGGTCAAAAGTAAAAAGAGGGCTTTGTCTTCATAAGCTACTAATTTAATCAAAATCAAATTTCTAGGCTTAAACCTTAATCTCAGTAAATTGCTGGAGAAGCTTAGTCTAAAGGAAAATGAAGAAGAGGTATTAGAGTTTTTGCTGACATAAAGCAAAACTGGAAATGAAAAAACAAAAGAAAAAGAACAATTCATTTGGCCTGATTTTCTAAAACCTAAATAAGGCAGAAACCAAGTGTTAGGCAGAAGTATTTTGAGAAGCTTTGGGATCTATAGAACAAAATTTCTTAGCTTCTACTTGTTTGAGCAAGCAGCTTGGCAGTGGGCTCACAGGCTAACCTGCAAACTGCCTAGAATAGCTGGAGAGGTGGGGACCAGGCTGTCCTGCCCCATTGGACCTCTATAAATGGGGGCTAATTCAAAGAACTCACAAACGAATGTGAACTGGAATGAAGATGATCTTGTTTTAGAGGAGATGTGAATTTCTCTGATTTTCTTTCTCCCTAAGATGGCAGCCACAGACAAATGGGCCATAGGGCCACAAGAATTCCCAATTGTCTTTGCCTGGTAATAGAGTGGATCATGAAAAACAAAGTTTACTAGTTCCCCTTTCCATTTGGACCTTTGCTCTGTACCTACATTTTCTGAAGTGCAGATTATTCTCAAGTCTGAAAATGACCGAAAGACGGAAATATATAGAGACTGACGTATATCTATCTCACAAATAGACTGTGGTTCAGGACAGTATTCTTACAAGGCCCAAAATGACTGACTATACTTTTACATTCGTATTTATTTAGTCATTACCTTCTTCCCCAAAGAATCTGAGGATTGGCAAAATGTATTAACCAATAAATAAATAACAATAATAGAGACCCAAAGTTAGGGATATATGAGGACCAGGAACAAAGCTTTCTCCCTTAATTTCTACACCCACTAAGTATTTTTGGGAAAGTGCTTGAGGATATAAAGCACTTGCCTAGCATTTACAAGGCCCTGGGTTTGATCCTCAGCACCCAAAAAAAWTTTTTTTAAAAAGTGCATGCCTATTCCCTTTTCGACCCCATTGTCTGTGAAAAGCACTCTACAATTTCATGGCTAATCCTATAAACTAGAGAGTCTGGCTCTACTTGCTTTTAAGACAAGCAGACAGATTCTCATTCTGGTTGAAGCTGATTTCAGACTCTGGTGATTCATTTACAGGATGTCCTGGCCTCTGAAGTAAACGTCAGCACAACGGTTTAGGTAAAATTTAAATGCTAATATTAGAAAAAGTAACATCAACTGCCTTCATTAACTTGTAGTCAAGGAAACTAGTACTGACAAACAATTACCAGAACTTTAAAAAAAAAAAAAAGTTTAATTATAGCCTCCCTTYTAATCAGGAGGAAGCAGTCTAGACATCTCTGTATAAACCTGGAAGCAAATAAGTGGAAGTCACTTTACCACATTCCTTCAGTTTAATTTATCAGGTCTCCAGAATGAGCTTTCTGCTTTGTAAATGTGTCTCTACTTTGAGGCATCTGCTGTGCAAAGCACAGGACACAGTGTGCTCTTACTGAAGGGCAGACACACAGGTGGGTGGCCTGACCAGATCTGAGCAATTACCATGGAACTCACCCTACATGTGAGACTAACATCTTTTGATATTGTTAGAGACCAGAGATATAAGGCCTTTTTTTTTTTTTTTTTTTTTTTAAGAATCAAGGAAAAGGATCCAAATTCTGGGTAATTTATGTTCTGTCTTTTAAATTAGTTCTGACTTTATATATATACATGACCTCTGAAGTTTAAAATCTGGGTTCACTCTTAGAAAAAGGTAACACCTTGCCATTAAAAATTTTGGTCCTCTACTTTCAGGGTACCATGGCAACCAGGGCATTCTGAATAGGATCCTAATATCTAATGGAGGTAAGTGGGCAGAGGACCAAACCAAGAAATAAAAATGGATTCAGTGACTGGAATCACCTTGCAAGGCAGCAATGCTTTGAATACCCTTTTTGTGTGTGTGTGTGTGAATGAAAGATGAGGGGGAAAACCCAAGATTACTGCTCAGTATATAAGAGGATAAACCATTTTTAATGCACATTTCCAAATAAAAGATAAAAAAAAAAAAAAAAAAAAACGCTTTTGGAGCCCCTGGCAAAGGCCAGGTCTGTCTGCAGTCCTGGCTTTTCATACCGATTGTGGTAGTGGCAGGAAATGTTTGGCGGATGCAACTGTAAAAACTGAGGTGGGGGCGAGAGCGACTAGCCTAATCCCAGGACTCCCCCGGCTGGCTGCACTTCCTATCTGGATTGCTGGCAGAATGCGGAGTCCCCTGCGCCTGCCCCTTAGGTCAGGTCTGGAGGAGGTGCAGGCACCCGGTGGTCGATCCTCACCTGTAGGTGGCTGACAATACAGTAGGGTTCCGGTTTGTGCAGTCCGCACGTGGAGGTCACTGAGAGTTTCTGAGCTCGGCCTATGAGAAGGTCACCGGTGGCGGGGTAACAGCTGCCTTCAGCGCAACCATAGCTGAACTCCGGTTCTTGAGTGCGCACTTGGGTTCCGCACAAGGCTACAGGAAGAGCAAGCTACATGGTTGGGGGGGGGGGGGCCACAAGCAGGGAATAGGCCCGAGAAAAAGAAAAAACAGGAGGCGGGGACACTGCCAATTCAGAAGAAAGCAGAATACACAGAAAAAAACACAATGGAGCGATAAGCGAAGAGGCTGGAAAGGCAGGGTCTGGAGAAAAAAAAACGCAGAAAGAAACCTACACACGTCATCAGGTCAGTCTAGCAGCAGCTGAAGGCATCACTCCTGGAAAACCCATYCCACAGCTTGCGCCCATCCAGATCCACCCCAGGGGCGCAAAACCCCATCACAAAAGGTGGATGTGCTGACCTGCCACTTGGACGTGCCTAAACCGAGGCTCAGGGAGGCTAGCGGACACGCGCTGCCCATCCGCGCGCACATGGCAGTGCGGCGCGYCTCCTCAGTATGTGTGCGTGGAAATTTGGGCGCGTGGAAATGAGCCAGGGTGGGGGGGTTAAAGCTTGTGCGCATGCACGCGGGGGGTCTCTGGTGATTCAGTGGGGGGACTAGGAGCTTGTAGCAGATGCCGCTTCCTCACGCAAAGGGCAAATCTTTCGTTTCTGCAGATCTGAAGTGGCCTCAATGTTTCGCCATTTCGAAAAACCATCTAGTCCAGCTGTTTCTGGTGCCACCCAGAGACAAACAGCGATGGTTAATTAAAGCCACATGGCCCCAAATCAGTTCCCTGGACGATACCTACACTCGGCCCAGGCACTTTCCTGGGCAATTGAGTTTTTCGCAGATCCTCCACGGCCACCCCCGCCACCCTAGGAAGCCTGCCTTTCCTAATGGGTAAAATGAATTGGCCGAAGGTGCCTCCTCCGGAGCAGCAGGAGCGGGAGCTCTGGGCGCAGAGCCGGGGGATGCGGGTCCGCAGCCCTTCGCATGCGCCGTCCCCAACCACCACCGAGGTGAACGTGGTGGCATTTAATCCCAGGGAGATAATTTCCAACCAGTCCTGCTCCCGGTCCCTTAGGCTACCTTCGAAGCGAGGACAAACCGCTTTGGGGTTTCCCTTCCCCATGCCCAAGCGCCACCCCTCTCCCCACCGCTTCTCAGAATTACCTAAGAAACTGAAGGCGAACACCTGGAGCAGCCCCATATCCAGTCCCTACAGCCGAGGGGACGCCGCCGAGGAAGGGAAACACCCCAGCCAAACTGCCTGCCTTTTCTTCTTCGCGTCTTCGTTTCTGGAGAGGTGGGGTGTGGGGGGGAAGGCGAATATTCAGGGAAAGGAGAAGGGCACTTCCATTTCCTGCCGCTCTCAAGGAAGAAGGAGATGGGTTGGAGAAAGGAGGGRAAAAATCATGCAGTCACTTGGTTCTTCTCACCCCACTGTGCGAGCGTTCCTGCCGGTCCTGGCAGCCCCCGAGCCCAAAGAAGGGAATTAGAAAGTTTAGCCTTGGGAGGAACCCAGGGAGGCGCCTCTGCTCATGCGCAAATGAGAGCAGGGGCTGAGGGGGCGGGCGGCTGCAACTCCGCGAGGAGGGGGTGAGGTCCCGGTCCCACCCCCCCGGGGCGCTTCTTTTGTTTTAAGGCAGCCTCTAGGGCTGCTGCTGGGTTTTGGTGCCTCCAGTTTGCAGTGTGGGATGGTGGGCCACCACCAGTGCGCGTCCTCGGCCCGTGTGAGGGTGGGATGCGTTTGGGCTGGTTTCAGAGATAGGTGCTCAGATCACCCAGCGAGGGGAATCGGTTGGGACCTACCTGGACTCGTACATTTACATTTGTAAGAAGTGAGTCATGAAAAGGTGCCCAAGGCTACAAACTCTTGCACAGGCGCTGGGGGAAGGCTGGTTACCCCTTAGAAAGAGGGTCAACTTGTCGGGTTTGTTGTTTGGAATGTGAATCCCACCCCTCTTCCCCCCCCMCACACACACATACCCACAGCCCCCAGAGTCTAATATGGGCACATCTTCAATGTCTTCATGTGAAAAAGGAAAATGCTATTCATTGTATATTGTTTATAGGCACACATTTATTCAGGACATGTTTACAATCTGTGCTACCGAGGTGGTCAGGGCACTGAAGTATCCGTTCTGTTTTTAAAATCCTACTTATTACCAAACACTGTCACTAATTCAGGTAATTTCTTGAACGACACTATCGTTAAGGCCTGTTTTCTCCATCTTTCTTCGGAAGAACTGATACACAGCCAGGAAGCTAGAGATCATTCTCACGAGAGACACACTTAAAAATTTCCGTACAGCACAATCTCAACAATTCTAGGGAGGAACTCCTTGGTATACAAATGGGGTGGTGAGGAGGGGGCTCTAATGAAGGGTCTTTAACAGCACTGTGTGTAGCTGGCTGGTTAAATAGAAGCTCASCCATCTCCTAGCGGTTGGACAGGAAAAAGAGGTTGGGGACCAACCTACTGCTGTGAATTAGCCAATTCTGATGTCCTTTACCATGGATGGAGTCAAAGTCTGAGCTTTGTTTAGTCCTTCTCTGACCAGTTGTGCCTGAAACGAGGGGAATGTAGTTAGTTGTTAGTCCAGTCCGGAGATTTTGATTGTTTTCCAGTCCTGGAGGTGAAGGGTTTACATAGCCAAATGGTCAGTTTTTAACTTGGCTACAATGAGATAGGGCCAAGGGAAGTTTAATCATTAGACCATAGACAAAGCTACCCTACGAATTTATAAACATCCACTAATCTGAGGGAGGCAGGAGCCTCAGGTCTTGATGAGGTATTAATTATTCACCAAATAAGTATTGCCCCTATTGCAGCCTGAGTAGATTTTTGGTCTCTGATGATGCTTAAGATCTTGGGTGATGGGCTGGGGATGTGGCTCAAGCGGTAGCGCGCTCACCTGGCATGCGTGCGGCCGGGTTCCATCCTTAGTACCACATACCAACAAAGATGTTGTGTCCGCCGAGAACTAAAAAATAAATATTAAAAATTCTCTCTCACTCTCTCTTTAAAAAAAAAAAAAAAAAAAAAAAAAAAGATCTTGTGTGCTAACTGGGCAGCCCAGACAGCACTGAGAAAATCCTGGCTGTTGTGAAGGCTTTACTACTTCAATGGAGAGTCTATACAGATTAAATGGGGGAAAAAAAAATCTCTTCTTTGTTCAGCTTTGTAATACCCTGAACCAAAGTTTCATCTTACAGTTTTCATCCACACAAATTGCAAGTACCATTCACCTCTTTCCTGAGCCTCCTTGCCACCTGTCCCTGGTCAGTGTCCCCTCCCTTTGCAAAGGTTTATTTGCCATTAATACTCTTCAAAAGCTTGGCTGCCTTCCTGATCACCACACTCTTAGYAAATTTAACACTACTGAAAATTTTAGGTTTTTTTTTTTCTATAATTTGCAAATGTATTTGTAGGGGACAGAATGTGTATAACACTTACCTTCTGACCACTTTATCCATGAATTTGTCACCACCAGAYCCACCTGCATCTTTTGTACTTCTCTCCTAGAGGGTTCATCTTTTGTACCCTCCTCTCATGAGATCAGTGCTTTTACATTAAAACTTGTTCAATTTTCCTTTCATTTTAAAAACAAAATAAGCCGTGCCTGTTTCCTGTCCCCCACTCCTCTCCTCCCTTTGACATTAGACTCAGGTTTTTGGCAGGACAGTCTGCACTTAGGTCTCTGCTTCCTCCTGGTTTCTCCTTCTTCCAGTTGTAGTATAGCTTCCATCTCCACCATTGTTCTTGTTAATGGCCATGTCCCTCTAACTGCTCAGTGCAATGGACTTTGTCCCACTTTGGTCCTGTTTGATCTCTTTGTGGCATATGGTTCAGATGATCGCTCCCTTCTTTTACTGCTTTCTTCGTGACTTTCAGGACAGAATTCCAAAATTTTTCCGTAGGACTTTGACTCTTCCATTTCTCTTGTCCTTCTCTGATTTCTTAAGCATTGGTGCTCCCAAAGTTCCCGTCTCTTTCTTTCCATTCTGCACGTGCTCATCCACATCCAATAGGTCCGCCAATGGCCTTGTCTCCAACCCCTGCATCTCTATCTCTAGCCTGTACCTTGTTCAGAATTTGCATGCAATTTCTAATAGGCCATTGAATGCTCTACATTAATGACACATGGGTACTTCATATTCACATWAAATTGAACTCATCTCTCCATTGCACCACACAGAGCAAAATGAGTTCTTCTGTTTCCCACTTCAGTTATTAGTGCCATGATTCATCCTTTAGCTCAGAGAATGAATTGGGAAAAGTCAGGCTACGTTACTAGTAGGCGACAAATGGTAGCTCCCTTATTTTCTTTCGTTTTTCTTTTCTTTCTTTCTTTTCTTTTTWAAATTTCTTAGTTATAGGTGGACACAACGCCTTTATTTTACTTTATGTGGCTCTGGGGATCGAACCCAGTTCTCATGCATGCTAGGCGAGCACTCTACCACTGAGCCCCAGCCCCAGCCCATGGCCCCCTTGTTATTAATAATGTAAAGCCAGTAATAGCAAAGCATTAAACCTACCACAGGACTCTCTTGAGTCTAACTGCACATATTACATGCCCATGAAGCAGCCTGGGAACACTGGACACCTCCTCTCCTGCACTCATTCCCTGACCCCCTCATTAGTTCCTGCCATTTCTACTTTCTTAGCAACTAGCTGTCATGTCCTCATTGCTCCAGCCTCATTGCCCTGCCTTCCTTAGTTCAGTGTCTCTTCACATCTGGAGCCTGCAGGTGCCCTCTGGCGCTGTCCCAACTTCCAACTGCTCTTGTCAAGTCCTTCCTAAAACCCACAGAAGGAGATTTCAGAGGCACAAYCTAGATCGTGTCATTCTCTCTTTTTTAATACCAGTAAATGAAYCCAGGGGCACTTACCCACTGAGCCAAATCCCCAGCCCTTTTTAAATTTAGACAGGATCTCACTAACTTGCTTAATGCTTCACTGAATTGCTGAGACTGGCTTTGAACTTGCAATATTCCTTCCTCAGCCTCTGGAGCCGCTGGGATTATAGGTGTGCACCACTGCTTCTTATATTATTCTCTTKTTCAGTAGCCTTCGGTGGTTTCCCTTTGCTCTTTCCTTGTAAGTGACATATTTTATACTTTTATRACTTTCTCTCTCTCTGCTACATGGACCTTCCTTGACCTTATCAACTTGATCAACTATATTCATCTTTGTAGACTCCACTTAAACTGGCTTTTTACATGAATGTTTCTTCCAGCGCCTTGTAAAAGCCCAAAACAGCATATATGACATAATGCTGTAACTATTTGTTTGTGCCCTTATCTCCAATAGACAGTGAGACAAGGACAAGTACTGTGTAACATTCATTTCTGCATGACCACTGGCTGGCATGCCATGGGGCACGTTAGAGGTACTCGAGAAGGAAAGAAAGACTAGTCTTTGCCTTTTAAAGACTTCCTTGGCTCTTAAATGTCTACTTTCTAGCTACCAAATTTTACATGTGAACAAGTTCTTTTTGCCTGTTATAATTCCATACAACTTCCTTGATTTCTGAAAATTTTACAAGTTTAGGAGAAATTAGTCTCTTTTTGTCAGCCTGTCCAAGACTTCACAGTGGCTGATGACACCCTCTCTTGTACTTACTTGGCACTACCTGCTTCTGCATGAAGAAATCATCACTGTTCTGCAGCAKTTTGAATGGCCAACAATTTCCATTGCAAATTGTTGATTGTTCTGCCTTAAAGAATATGAAACAGTTATCTCCCTGAGGCATTTACTATTTTTATCTGAAAAAAACCCACCGAGAATAATTTAAGGTTACCTTCACTCACAGTCTTAAAATGCCACATATGGGTGGCATTTTAAATTCTGATCAACAGTGAAATGACGGGGACATTACATTCAAGAACTTGATCATTTGGTCATAAAAATCTCATTATTAGCCGGRTGTACATGCCTATAATCACAGCTGTTCAGGAGGCTGAGACAAGAGAATTGCAAGTTCAAAGCCAGCCTCAGCAATATCGAGGCACTAAGCAACTCAGTGAGACCCTGTCTCTAAATAAACTACAAAATAGGGCTAAGAATGTGGCTCAGTGGCCTAGTTCCCCTGAGTATAATTCCCAGTAATCCCCCCACCCCCGCAAAAAAAAAAAAAGCAAAATAAACCCTTCCTCATTATTTACATAAACTTGTGCTCATGAAAAACATTAGATTTTTGTTGCTTTGAAAATTAGGTTGACTTTTACTTTGTGAAATTCATAATTAATCTCACATACACACACACAAAACTTCCTTAGTACTTACATGTCCATTTCCTTGCAAAAAACCATGAATCTCTCTGGTTAAAAGAAAAATATCATCAGTTTAGTTCATTTTAAGAATACTTCCAAAATTCACTCATGAACTGATGCTTCATGTGTATTCAATTTCATACAACTTTCTTGATTTGTCAATATGTTTCAAGTTTAGGAGGTAACAATAAGATCAATGACCAGTAAAATTCAGGACAAATGTCAGAATACTTTT